GAAGACAAGTTCCAAGCTTAAAAAAGAACTAAAGACTTTTAACCCAATTTATGTTCACATGTCTAACATCCATTTAGCATCTTTAAGGACATCTTATCTAATCTATTTGACGACAACAATTATCTATGATATCTTTTAAACAAATTTTCTTTAAGCTAATTTATTAAAATTTCATCTAGCTTACACTTCACTTAATCACATACAATTAACTTAATCACATACTTAATCACATACTTAACTTAATCACTTAATCACATACATACAATAAGAGTCCAGCTCCTTACAATCTTTAATATATCTCACTTGTAAAAAGAAATCTATTTAAAGAAAATAGATAGATTAAATAGATTCTTTAAATCTATTTAAAGAAAATCTATTTAAAGAAATCTAAAAGAAATAGAAATCTATTTGGTACAGCTCCTCCTACTCCCATAATAGTCATTTTCTAGTATAGCAATTCAAAGACAAAAGAGTCATGCAACTTAGCTTTTGGTCATTCATTTTTAAGATAAAAAAAAGAAAAGAATCTCTCATTTTCCCTTACATCACCCACAAAGGGGGGGGGGGGAGGACTCCACTCCTATTCTTCTTCTTAGTTCAGTTTAAATCTTATAATCTCTTCATAATTCAACACATTTAAATGTAGAGAAGCTTCCACATTAAAATCATATACCTTAGCCTTTCCATACCACATGCCAACCCATTTATACCATTCCTTTTAAAGACAACACATCTCATTTCTTTTTTACCCCTCTGCCCCACCACTTTGGTTTTAATAAGGTTTGTTGAAAATCAGTATTTTTCAGTTTTACATCTCCACCCCATCTTCTCGCCTTGGTGGTATTTGTTGAAAATCAACCCACTTCAAAGTCTGTATTTCAATCTTCACTATTTCTTGGTTTATCTTCAGTAATTGTAGCATTTGTAGGTCAGTATTTATTCCCAATGGCTGTGTTTCTTGCTGCAAATCAGCCTTCACTGTTTCTTCTTCCTCAGAGTCAATTATAGTTAATTCAGGATCCATCCATCCTTCCAAAAAAAAAAAAAAAATCCTTCCTTTAGTGGCCAAATTTGTTTCTCTTTCTCTAATATAGCAAATAAATTCCATGATAGTTTATTTATTGGTTTTGCTAGTTTTGTTTCTTTATCCACAGTTTCAAATTTTTCATATACTTATTGTGTTTCTTGTATATTCTGTTCAGTTTTGGATTGTACACCAACCCCCATTTCGAAAAAAGAAGCATCAAGTTTATCAAGGCACTTTTTCTGTTCAATTGAGAAGATTTCTTATTGTATCAACATCACCTCTTGGGATGTTTGTAAAGCTGTTAAAGATTCTTTTATTGCCAAAAATGTTCTCTTTAACTCTTCCATCGTTGCCATAATTCCAATAGCCACAGAGTGACAGCCAAAGCCAATTCCAGTTTTCTTTTCTCTAGATCACTAGCGGTCAGATGGTTGGCAAATTGCCAATACTTTGGCAGCAGTCCCAGAAATGCAAGAGAGAAAATGGAGATTCTTGTATCCTTCCTTTTTTTTTCTTTCCCCTTCTTTATACCAGTTAGCAACAGATAGATTTTTTCCACAAGTAGTATTGCAAAAGGAAAATTGGAATGCTCACCCAAAACAGTCATCACATTAAAGAAGAAAGCATCCCGCAATGTAAAAAATATCCTGAGTGTCCAGTTACTCTTGGCAGAAGTCCAAACAGATATCCAAAATGATCAGTCGAAGCTTTAAACTTCTATCACTAATTGCACCGTAGTTATTTAATTTAATTCTTCGCCCTTAGAGAGGTTAGAGAAAAAAGTCTTTTTCTTTGGCTTCAACTTGGACAAAAGCCTCAGCACTCTCTTATCTCAGTTGCCACCTAAACATCCGGAGGACTTTTTTCTTTTCTTGATGCCAAATTATAAACAAATGCAGCTTTTGGAGAAAAAAATAAAAAATATTTACTCAGCAGTTCCAATGCTTATCTGGCTAATAAAAATCCTAAGCTAAATTAAGATGTCGAGAACTTGAAGGGGCTGAACCACCCCCTGTGTTACTTGGTTGAGAAGTACCTGAATTGCTCCCAGCAGATATGAGATTGCCATCTCACATCAAGCCAAAAGCGTGCCCAGGCAATCTGTCTTCACCCCAACAGGGCTTAGATGAGTCTCCCATGACTCACTACCAAGCAATACTGGTGTGATAACAGAGCTCCGTTAATCACAACCATCTCGTTCCAACGCCATCTTCTCTCCCTGGATGTGGTTTACCTGGATCTCAGCAAGGCCTTTGACAAAGTGCCCCATGATATCCTGGTTGAGAAATTGAGGAGTTTGGGGATAGACCAATGCAATGTCTGATGGACTGGGGCATGGTTGACTGACCGAAAGCAGAGGGTAACCATTAGTGGGGAATCATCTGGAAAGCAGCCACTGAGAAGCGGGATCCCCCAGGGCTCTGTCCTTGGGCCAATCCTGTTCAATCTTTTCATCGATGACATGGAAGGAGGAGTGAACAGTCTGCTGATCAGATTTGCAGACGATACTAAAATGGGGGCGGTGGCCACAACTGAAGAGCAGGTACTCTGGATCCAGAAGGATCTGGACAGACTATGGAGGTGGGCAGGAGACAACAGGATGGCGTTCAATGTGGATAAGTGCAAGGTCTTGTACTTGGGGCATAGGAATAGCTGTCATAAGTACAGGTTAGGGGACAAGTGGCTGGAGAGCAGCACTTGGGGTGCTGGTTGACTGCAGGCTAAACATGAGCCAGCAGTGTGATGCAGGTGGTCAAGAGGGCGAGCGCCACCCTTGGTTGCATAGCCAGACGTGTGGCTTCTAGATCGAGAGGTATTCCTGCCACTCTATTTGACTCTGGTGTGCCTGCGACTGGAGTCTTGTGTTCAGAGGGACATAGCAAAGTTGGAATTGGTGCAGCGAAGGGCCACAGGGATGGTGGCCGGTTTGCAGGGAAAGCCATATGAGGTGAAACTGAGGGAGCTGGGTCTTTTCAGCCAGGAGAGGAGGAGTCTCTGTGTCTATAGGTACGTGTCATATAGGTACGTGAGGGGGTGTCACACAGAGGTGAGTAGAGACCTATTTCCCCTGCAGAAGAGGGCAGGACATGTTCCAGTGGAGCAAAACTCAGGGAATCAAGGTTCAGTTTGGATGCCAGGAAGTACTTCCTGATGATAAGGACCCCAAGGGTATGGAATGGAGCTTCAACCACCTCCCATGGAAGTCCATCGGTGAGGATGTTCAAGGACAGGCTGGAAGGCATGTCATGAGCGGAGCTGGCTGGAGCTGCAGGTCAGACTAGATTGCCCCAGAGTCCCCTTCTGACCCGCTCTGTTTCTAAGCCTAGAAAGACTTGACTGTGTGCGCATAAATGCTAGTTTCTTGAGCAAAAGTTATCAATGGAACCAAGGCATCACTTGTTTTAAATCTAATTCAAATATCTGACAGGCATCTCCACCATTATGGTTAATTGCCACTCTTGGAATTGGTGGTGGATGGAGTGAAGTGTGCATACCCGAGTGTGATACTGACTCTCCCTCTGCCCTCTTTCATGCATCCCAGTTGGTTGGTGTTAAAGCACTTCTAAGAACTTCTTTATTACCCTTTTATTTACCATTTTTCTTGTGTTATTTTTATCCTTCCTAATTCCCTCTTAAAATATCCTCCTCCACCACCCATTTCACTGCATCCTGTAATACTAGTACATCTATCATGCTACATCCAGTCCATGCACTCTGATGCAGACAGAAACATACCTGGCATAGCAATACAATTAACATCTTGCAGGGATGGGGAAAAGGTTTCCAGGTGTTGCTAGACGCCAGTTCCCATCACTGCAGTCAATGCAATGGGATGATGGAAGCTGTAGCTCAGCATATCAAACTGGGGAAGGGCCCTGAGTAATGTGAATTGTGTGTTGACCAACCATTGAGTTCCAAGGTATCCATCCAGCTCTGCTTTGATGTGAATGATTGGTAGAAGCAAACATGCGTCTTTGGAAACCATCATCCAAAATCCTGCAGCTCAGAAACCAGGGGTTTTCCCCACAAAGCAGGAGGACTGTCCTCTTGGCTTGGAGGCCACAGGACTTGAACACAGAATGAAAGTGCGAGACTTGCTCCAAACCTACTTGAAAGCAACATTAATTTAAAAAGGAGTTTTATTCAGCAGGGAAGAGTACAAAACGGCACAGCTCCATTCAAGAATGAAATAGCGGACATTTTGTGCAATGTCTATTACACCCTCCCCAAAAAACCAAAAAAACACACACACAGAAAACACTTCTTAGTAGATGAAGAAAGTTTTATAGCAGCATTCGTTTTTCCCATAGGGCTTGTAGTGCAGATAAGATTACAAAATGACTGTCCAGGAATCACATGCCTAGAAGCAGAAATAAAGATTGTGCTCTTAATAAGTTACCCAGACTTATTTCCAAGGTGCATGTGCAGTGTTGTTTTTGTAGCTCAACCCATTCATACTGAGCAGCACTATGGAGATCGCTGCATGCGACTTTCCAAAATGGACCTCTCTTTTTAGTTCTGTAAGCGGTAACCATACTGTGAGATCTCCATTCAGGCAAATTTGCCCTCTGCTCAAGCAACCATTCCCTGTGGGCAGCAGCAGAAAGCTACTCCTCAGAGGGGCATATTTCATTCCCCCCCCCCCTTATTCCCCTTTCCAAACCCCCACCCCCCCCCCCCCCGGGAAAATTTTGCTTGTTGGTCAAATACAAACCCCAATTTTTCTAGGAATAAAAGGATTCTCACTGCATTCATGCAATACCCTCAAAGTATGACTGCCATTTCACTTTTATAGTATTTAGTGGATAAAAAGGTAAAGGTTTCCCTTTGACATTAAGTCCAGTCATGCCTGACTCTAGGGAGCGGTGCTCATCTCCGTTTCCTGGCCGAGGGAGCCAGCATTTGTCTGCAGACAGTCTTCGTGGACATGTGGCCAGCATGACTAAACACCAAAGTGCACGGAACGCTGTTACCTGCCCACTGAAGTGGTACCTTTTTATCTACTCACATTTGCATGCTTTCAAACTATAGATTTGCCTTAAAGTCATAATCAAACTTTTAGACATATGATTTAGCTGCTCTTTAAAGGAATTTTATTCTCTCCACAATTAAGTTATTCCATTTTTAGCCCACTTTTAAAATATAACTGTAAATGATTGTTGTTCAGATGCTTTTGCTATGTTTACAAAGAAACAGGATAAAAAGCAACAATTGAGTTTTCAAAGAAAATGTAAATTTTTAAAAATGCCAACAGAAGGAGGTCAACCCTACTCTGTGAATTTGTCTTAGGATCTCCCTTGTTACAGAACTAGTCACAATGGGAATGTTGGAGAAAATGAGGAATGAAGTGTTGGCCTACAACTCCCATAATCCTTCCCAACTGGCTATGTTGGCTAGAGGTGATGGGAGTTGTAGAACAGAAGAAGGGCAGGACCTCACTTTGCCCACCCTTAGAAGGACCTTTATAGTCTTATCCAGTCGGACTCTTTATGCTCCTGAGTGAACATTTGCACAGATGTTGCTTTCCACAGACGTCCCCACCCTTCCTTTCATAACCAAAGTAATTCATGACCATCGCTCCCCTTGACAATACTCCATTTCATCCAACCTCCATTTCTCTTCAACCCGTGGCAACAGAACCACTTCTTTCTGCCCTCAACCTGCTTTACTTTCTGCAAAGCCTGGGAGTTTCCCAACCTCCCTTCTGCACCTGGACGGTGCTGCTCCTTGCTGAACACTGACATTTGAAGGAATGACAAATACTACTTAGGGTGGCCGGATGAGCAAGCTGAGAACTGCACCCCCTTCTAAAAAGGCCCTGCTTGAATCCCCTGATGTTTGGCCGCAAGATAAAAAACCTCACCAGACAGCTCATAAGAAGGCTGGTTTCTCCTTCCACCCCATTTGTTATAGCAAACTCGGGGTTTCTGTCACAGTGGTGGCCATGCTCTGTCACACCGTCTTCTAGCAGCGACCGGAGCTTGTCTTCTGTCATCCCCTGAGAAGAGAAGTAATCAGTGCCACCAATTCATCAATCTTTTCCCTGCCCCTTCCCTCTTCATGAATTTGGTTTCAGCAGCTGGAATTTGTTCAGCCCAAGGGCAATGCTGTGGACCCAAAAAAAAATTTGCTTCAGGATAGGATGAAGAGGCAGGAGAAAGCAAACCACAATCCTGAAAATTTTTTGTTAAGGGAAACCAGAAAACAGATGCCTTGGCATTTAGGCTCACAGTTTATACCAGGAGTGTGGAAGCTCTTCCAGGTCAAGAGACAAATGCACTTGAAAAGAATCAAGTTCTCCAGAGTTCCATCCGGAGCTGACTTGGGCCGGGTGGTGGGGGAAAAATACCAAACAATTCCAGCTTACAGCTCTGAAAACCACTTAGACTTTAGGAGAGACAATTCAACCTTTTAGAAACTGCACAAAGAGCAGGAACTGCCCCAGGGGCTGGCTGGCTTGAAGGGCAAGACTGCTGCAGTCATCATGGTTCTGCCCAACATCCTAGATGGCTCAGGAGGCCCCTTCTGAGCCGTTCTGTTTCTATCTCCTACCAGGCCTGGCAGGCTCCCCGCATTCTCCAGCAGAGAAGGGAGTTTTCATCAACTTGCTGCCCAACCCGTTCATCTTTATACTGCCCCAGACCTGCAAATTTCTGGGCAATGCAAAGGCATGGATAACACAAAAGGCATCATACCGTAAAATCAGCATAATCTAAGCAGCTAAAATAGGTCTGTTTTCAAAAGTAAGACTACACCAGCATAATGTGACTTCATTTCTCAATTTTCCCAAGAGCCAAAGCTCTTGGGGCAAACCGCCCCAACAACCCCAGATGCCATCAAATTCAGAGAAAAGGGCAGTCTTACCCCTCTAAAAGGAGAGCAGAGTTGGTGTCAGGCAGGATTCAGGGGAGGTCATTCCATCATTACAACAACAACAACAGCCACCACCAAGAAAGCCCTACTTATTGTTGCCTCATGTGGGGAAAGGACTCAGATGCAGATCACATCCAATAGTCAAGATTCCTGCTGCAAATCAGATTATTTACTTCTAAAATATAGCCCCTCCCTCAGACAAGGGCTTTGGTGCATTTGCTCACCTGTGTACCAATCTGCAGTCCACACTGACATACAACCAGGTAACTCGTTACATTGAGGTAGCTTCTAGGAAACAAAATGCAAGCATGAAAGTAGAACAGGGTTCTTTCCAGGTCGGATCTCGGGAGCTTAAGTTCTCAGGGCCACATTGCACTGCTGAGCAAGCAAGGAGGAAAACAGTGTGTCCTTCCTGCAAAACGCTAAATTTTAGCAGAGGAATTTCAAACTTGTCAAAGTGGGGAGAACTGCAAAAGCTGGAAAACTACCAAAAATTTTGCCTGGGAAACAGAAGGCAGCTTGCTGAGGAATCCCAAAAGGATTCGGGCCACGGACTGGAGAATAGATCCTGATCTATTCTCTGGTCCTTGCTGAGCTCAGCTCCACGGAAGAAAGCTTTCCTTAGGCGCTTACAGTTGTGAGTATACAGGTTGGGCATATCGACTGGCTGAATGCCAGGCTGCAACATTTTGGTGTAGGTCATGCTTGTTATTTTCTTGGGAGTGGAACACCCTGCAGTTTGCAGAGAGAGAGAGAGCGCAAAAGTTACACGTGCGAACATATATGAAAAAGGCTTTAAAGCAGGGGAAGGGGCTCCAGAACAGCCCAACTTCATTCTATTTCATGTATCACATTTCTGGAGCATCCAATAGCCAATGGGACAGTTTACAAGGATTAAAAACCGTAAAAATGAGAGCTAGCATGGCATAGTGGTTGGAGTGTTGGGCTGGAGACCTGACAGACCCAGGTTCAGGTCTCTGCTTGGCTATGAAGCTTGTTTGGTCACTTTGTGCCAGTCAATATCTGCCGGACCTACCCCACAGGGTTGTTGTGGGGATAAAATGGAGCTGTGGAAACCAGGCAAGAAATAAATGCCATGTAATAATCGTAATACTAAAATGTGCAATACGTGTATATATGCAATTTAGCTACAAATAATTATGCCTCAGCCACCATAAATCCTCACAATATCCCATGCCTGAGGGGGACTGAAAATGTTCATAAAATGAGGACCATTAGAGAAGAAAATGGAAAACCAAAAAGATACAGTTACAGAACACCCTGGAAAGGCCTGTGGCTGGCGACCTGACTGCAACATTCAGTGTCAGGCCTTACTAAGGAATACCATCCAGAAATGACTAAAGTAGATTCCCAGTGTAAACTGAAGATGGTGGTGAGGGGGGAAACACCTTTTTCTCCCCTATCTTGAGAGGGATCTGTGGGAACACCTTGGGGTCAGAGGACAGGCTAAGGCCTTCCTCACCGTTGACAAACAGGGCAGATAATCAAGTGTTCTGCATCCAAGCCGTCGAGCATCGCGTTCAGGCACTCCTCATCAAACTGCAGACCTCGCTCGTACTCCTCAATGGCCATCTTTTCTGCAACGGAGAGCACCAGGGTCACTTGCTGCCGATGGCTCTCCAAGTCACAACCCATCGAAATCAAACAGTCAAGTACCTTGCAGCATCAGCTCCTGTTGGATTTCCTCCAGGACAGCCAGGTCGAAAGGATCTTCCGGCACCTACAGAGAAAAGTGGTAGGTCTGTTTCCACTTTTTCCAAGGACAGGAAAAGCCTCAAAAGGCTTTTGCAACATCATACGAACTGAAACGTTCCTGCTTCAGGAACCACCGCCTGCTGCCAAGATCCGCCTCTTCTCCTAGCCTGGGGAAGTGGGCCACATCACCCAAAGGCTAAAGGGCTTCCGGGGAGGGGAGCCGCAAGCAGAAAAAGCCGAGAAGCGGGGAACTCTTGGAGCTAGCAAGGGACTCAGCTGCTCCGAGCAGGGTGGCCTGAGCACATTCCTCTGTGCTTCCCCCAGCAGAGTGAAAGGTTTAAATGGACAGGGCCACTCAAATTGAGTGGATGGGCTGAGAGAAAGCATTCTGGCTCGGCACATTTGGAGGGTACCAGACTAGGGAAAGTGGGCCTAGTAGTTCCCCACAAGATAATATCTATTTAGTGTTCTTCTTGATACAGCAGAGAGAGGGGCTTCAGGCTCCAACCGAGGCCCTCCCAGGTCCCTTAGATGGCCTGGGCCTCTGTCTCCCAACCATCCACCCCGGCTGTTTCCTGGTTCCCACCCCTTCAATATTCTAAAGGCTTGAAACTCTTCTCCGAAGGCCTAATTACTGGGAGAGTTTTGTGCTGCAACAGGCTGGGATTGGGGCATTTTGGCCGGGCTCCTTTTTATTTGACCCCCTCCCCCCTTTGTGCCACTGAGCTATCCAACCCTGGGAAGCTTCCCACCAGAACTGCTTTGAAGTTGAAATCAGCCTTTGGGATGAAAGATGGTTCCCATGTCTGGTATCTTTTAACTTTTTAAAAATATCATTCACTTCTTCACAAACCCTATTTTACTTGTTATTTAAACCAAAAAGATAGGATAAGTCTTTTAACATTTTCATCCGATGCTCCTTTCCACAACCCACCACGGATGGGTCGTGGCCCCTCAGTTTTGCAAGACAGCTTGAGAACCTAGCCTGGCACCACACAAGTGGGACTACAAAGCGAGCTGTAACCAGGGCACCACCACAGAAAAGGCCCTGTCTGAACGTACAAGCCTGAAAGGATAGCCAAGGAGAGTAAGAAACCTCTTTTTACCTGAGGGCTGAATTCTATCTAGGACAAGTTTCCAGAGGCTGTACTCCAGCCATGGGTGGAGCTAAAGGCCAAATGGGGTGAGGCTCAAATGCCAGTATTTTTTAAGCTCAGCCTTCTAAGTGCTCATAACTAAGGCTTAAAAGGCAGTTTCATTCCTTTTAAACCCGCAAAAGCTGGGAATGCACTAAACAATGGGGTGTGGAGAGCCAAAGAGGGTTCTACCTGTGCGAGATGCCCTTGCTGCTGTACTGCACTCACCTGGGCTAAAGGGTTCTGCTTCCAGAGGGCGGGCAGGTGAACACCCGTCGTCTGCAGGGCCTGCCATTCCATCTCCATCGCCTCCTGCACCAAACTGCCTCTTCCAGCTTTGCAAGTGACATCCTCTCCCAACTGGCGGTACCTTTCCAGCAGCCGTGCCCGGCTACTCTTCAGCCTCTCCACACAGCGCTGGAGCAGGAAAAAAGAGAGCTGTCCATTTGACTTTTGTGATCTCCTGTGGATGAGGTCACGCTCCAGCAGATTCTGATGTTGGCAGATATGCCTCCAAGAGGAAACGCTTCCAAAACCTTTTCCTTTTCCAAGAGGAAACGCTTTCAAAACCTTCCAAAATTTTGAGCTGCCCTAAACTTTGCCTGAGATTGCAAAACCAGCTGTGGGGTGGAGCTGTAGTGCATGGTAGAGCAGCTGTTTGCATGCAGGAGAACCAGTCCCTGGGAACTCCAGGTAGAGGTAAAGCATCCCACCTGAAGCCCTGGATAGCCGGCACTGACAATACTGGACTCACTGGACAAAGATGCAACCCCTGTCCTCAAACGAGCCCAAGCAGGGGGTGTGGATGACCCTCCCCCATTTCATTCTCACAAGCCTGTGAAGAAGGCGAGGGTCCACCTGGCCTTAGGCCTCAAGGGCACCACTGCCAGGAGCACAGGCAGCCGGTCCTGCACACACATCTCAGGAAACAAGCCTCACCCATTTCAACAGGGTAACTCTCCCAGTGGTTGGATCGCACTGCCCATAATCCCCGGCTAGCACAGCCCTTGGGAGCTGCAGCGCTCATCACCACAGTTCCCCGGCCCATGTCCCCAGGCAGGCTGCCCAGATTCCGGGCACTGAGCAACAAGCCCGCTCGGGCAGGTTGGCTCTCCACCAGCGGCTGGCCTTCGGCACAGCTCTCAGCCCACCTGCGAGGGCGGGGGTCGCACTGCCCGTTCGAGGCGCAGCCCCAGGCGCTTCGCGCACGGCAGGCAAGCGCGCCCCCTTGCCAGGAGCGCTCGCTTCCGGCCCCCCGGGCCCCCGCCGCCGGCTCGCGAGGGCAGGGCGACGGCTGGGCTCGCTCGCTGCAATGCACCCCGTCCTGGAGCGGTCGCGCCACGGGAGGGGGCGCGCCAGCCCACCTGGCGGAAGGCCTCCTTCCACGGCGGAGTCCCGCCGCCCTTGTACAGCGCCCGGCGCCGCTGGACGAGCCCGTCCTCCATCCTCGTCCCCGGAGGCGCCCCGCGCACGAAGGCCACTTCAGCTGCCCGTACGAGCCAGGCGCAGTTCGCTTTGCCGCTTGTCCAAAGCACGCCGGGAAACGAAGTCCGATGCAGAACTCCGGCGCCCGGAGCATGCCGGGAAAAGCCTCTCGTCGCCTGCTCGGGACTGTAGCCCAAGAGGCTTGGAGGGCAGCCTGTTAGGGACGGTTCTTTTCGGTTATGTTCCCCCCCCCCCCCCGTTTTGGAGTGAAAAAAGAAGAGAGACAAGGTTTTATGCCATAGAACTAAAATAATCTCCCCCCCCCACCCAAGAAAGGGGGAAGCAGAAGGCCTCCGAAGTGATTAAACTATAAATACTATTAAAGACGTTGGGTTGACAAAACAATAAAAAATAAAATCTAGTAGTAGAATAACAACATCAGAAAAGCTAGATTAAAAAAAAGTTACAATGATAAATGCCGAAGAGTGCAATTCTACTGGTTTGCACAGGAGAAAAATACCTCCAACTCCCAGCAAAAGGTCTAAACCTGTGCACGCTTAGGCAGAAAAAAGATGTAGTTATTTTTATTTTATTTATTTAGACAGCTTATATGCTGCCCCCTTCGCATAAGCCACAGGGCGGCTTACAATCATTAAAATCCCGCATATAAATACACAAAATATATAGAATACATAAAATACTGGAAACAGCCTTCCAACGAGCTGGTTGGGAGCTGGAGACCTTTTTCGTGTTTGATCGTATTTAATCCTATTTAATGCATTGGACTGTATGAGGACCCCCAGGATGTTGGTCCTGGGGGACTTCAATCTCCATGCCGAGTCTGGACTGACCGGGGCGGCTCAGGACTTCATGGCCTCTATGATGGCCATGGGCCTGTCTCAACACGTCATCGGCCCGACCCATGAACGTGGACACACTCTGGACCTGGTTTTCTCGACGGGGCAGGAAGAGGATGACCTGAGGGTGAGGAACTTATGTTTGACTCCCCTGTCATGGTCAGATCACCTCCTGGTGAGGTTTGTGCTCGAGAGTGGCCTCTCCCTCTATAAGAGTACAGACCCGATTGTATGGGCCTGCCCCTGGAGCCAGATGGATTCCTGAAGGCCCTGGGGGAGTTTCCTGCTGACAAGACTGGTGCTCCTGTCGAGGCTCTGGTCGAACTGTGGAACGGAGAGATGACCAGGGCCGTGGACACGATCGCTCCCAAGCGTCCTCTCCCACCGGGCAGAGTCCGCTCTTCCCCTTGGTATACACCTGAATTGCGGGCGATGAAGCAGGTTGGGAGATGGCTAGAGCATAGGTGGAGGAAATCACGTGATGAATCTGACCGAACACACTTGAGAGCCCACTATCGGGCCTATGCTGTGGCGGTGAGGGCAGCGAAAAAGAATTTTTTTCCGCTTCCATTGCTTCCTCACAATGCTGTCCGGCGGAGCTTTTTCGAGTGGTGCAGGGCCTGGTTCGTCCAGGTCTGAAAGAAGACCTGGTTCCACCCTCAAAGGCTCTCTGTGACCACTTTGCCAGGCATTTCAGGGAGAAAATCGCTCAGATTCGTCACGAGCTGGATTCCACTAGTGAATCAGAGGTCTCTGGGGAGACGCCAATGCTACCGTCTGGTCCAAAATTGTTGGAGGAATTTCAATTATTGCGGCCCGATGATGTGGACAAGGTACTTGGACGAGTACGTCCCACCACTTGCCTATTGGATCCTTGCCCGTCTTGGTTAATAAATAACTCCAAGCACGGGATTGGGACTTGGATCTTGGAAGTGGTTAACGCTTCTCTGAGGGAGGGTCGAGTGCCTGCCCCTTTAAAGGAGGCGGTAATACGACCAGTCCTGAAGAAGGCGTCACTGGATCCAGAGGTGGCCACTAACTATAGACCAGTGGCCAACATCCCGTTTCTGGGCAAGGTGTTGGAGCGAGTGGTGGCGGGACAACTCCAAGCACTCTTGGATGAAACAGATTATCTGGATCCTTTTCAGTCCGGCTTCAGACCCGGGTACAGTACTGAATCTGCCTTGGTCACCCTGTATGATGACCTGTGCAGGGAGAAGGACAGGGGGAGTGCATCCCTGTTGGTTCTTCTGGACCTCTCGGCAGCTTTCGATACCATCGACCATGGTATCCTTCTGGATAGACTAGCGGGATTGGGGGTTGGAGGCACTGCTTTGCAATGGTTCCGCTCCTATCTCAACGGTCGATTCCAGAAGGTGGTGCTGGGGGACCATGTCTCTGCGTCATGGCAGCTATGCCATGGAGTACCACAGGGCTCCATTCTATCCCCTCTGCTATTTAACATCTATATGAAACCACTGGGAGAGGTCATCAGGAGGTGTGGGCTGCAGAATCATCAGTACGCTGATGATACCCAGCTCTACCTCTCGTTTTCCACCAATCCAGGTGAGGCAGTGGCTGTGCTGAACCGGTGCTTGGCCGAGGTAAGGGAATGGATGAGGGCCAATAAACTGAAACTCAACCCAGACAAGACGGAGGTCCTGTTGGTTGGCGGATTGGGCTTCGGAGAGGGTGGATTTGACCTGGTCCTGAATGGTGCAACACTCCCTCTTAGGGATAAGGTCCGCAGCTTAGGAGTACCCCTCGACCCGGAGCTTTCACTGGAAGCTCAGGTGACAGCAGTGGTGAGGAACGCCTTCCTTCAGCTTCGGCTGATTAATCAGCTTCGCCCCTACCTGGAGTTCGACTGCCTGGCGACGGTGACACACGCGCTGGTGACTTCCCGCCTAGACTTCTGTAACGCGGTTTACGTGGGGCTTCCCCTGAAGATGGTCTGAACACTTCAATTGGTGCAAAATAGAGCTGCCAGGTTGCTGACGGGGACGGGGCGTTATGCTCACATGACTCCAGTCCTCCGTCAGCTTCACTGGCTGCCCATTGAAGCCCGGGCCCAATTCAAGGTGTTGATTATGACCTATAAAGCCCTAAACGGCTTGGGTCCTGGCTACCTGAACGAGCACTTACGTCCGTATATGCCCGACTGCCCTTTGAGATCTGCGGGAGAGTCCCTTCTCCGGGAACCCTCCATGAAAGAAATTAGGAGAGTAAATACTCGGAGGAGGGCTTTCTCTGCGGTGGCGCCCAACCTATGGAATTCACTCCCCAAAGAGGTCCGCCTGGCACCGTCGTTACTGGTTTTTCGGCGCCAGGTAAAGACCTTTTTATTTAAACATCATTTTAATTGTTAAAATATATGATCTGGCCAGGGCAACTTCTTCTTCTTCCTTCTCTTTTCTCCTCCTATATTATTTATTTACTTACTTTATACTGATAATTTTAATTTTATATTATTATGTTTGTAACTCAATGTATTTTTTGTATTTAATGGTAACTTATTATGTTCTATTGTATTTCAATGTATTTTATTGTGTTGTAAGCCGCCCCGAGGCTTCGGCAAGGGGCGGCATAGAAATGTTATAATAATAATAATAACAACAACAACAACAACAACTAATGTTTGGGGGTTGGCTGTTTTTATTGCCAGGCCTCAGAAGAGAAGCTCCTTCCGTAACTACATCAAAATTCTGAGAGGCTCCTCGCTTCCGCCCCGGAGCAGAGGCAAATGAGAAATGCCCCTACGGAACTCACATGTCGGCGCAGTTGCTTCATCCTTTACAGTCAAAAGTCTATGTAACAAAGCCTCTTATCTCATCAAGTGCTACAGCGACACGGCGTTACCAGCTGGTGTATCTCCCTCTCCCTCTCTATATGTTTAAGTCCTCCAGCCGGAGAGAGCAGTTCCGATTGGTCTGGCGAAGGCGAGAGGCCGCGCTGATTGGACCAAAGCAGCACATGGAGAGGAGAGGGAAAGAGTGTCGTTTTGGGCGCTGATTGGGCGCCGGCTTGGGTTCTCCGCGGATTCTGATTGGCAGAGGCGAGCCGACGCCGTGAGGGGAGGTGCCGCAGCGGAGGCGCCGCCAAAATGGCGTACCAGACCTTCCGGCAAGAGTACCTGCAGGTGCCTCCCGTCACCCGGGCCTACACCACCGCCTGCGTCCTCACTACTGCCGCAGTGGTGAGTAGGGGGCCGCGGAGGGGGCTCTCCCGGTGCTGGGGAAGGGCTGCTGGGTAGGTCCTAATTTGCATGGCCCCGCCCCGGGCACGCCCCGTCACCGGCAATGGGGTCTCGAGGCGCCCCGAGCCCTCCGGCGAGTTCACAAGCCCCCTTTACCTGCACGACGGCCCTGCGAGGTGGGCCTGTCGACGACAGCCCTGCGAGGGGGACAGGCAGTCTGCATCGCTCACGTGCTTTGATGCACCAGGAGCCGTTTTATTTCATTCCATTTGTTATCCTCCTATCCCGCCTTTTGTTTTCCTTTCGAGCAATTCCGAGGCGTTTTACATAATTCGCTCCTCAGGCTTATCCTCAGAACAACTACCCTGTGAGATAAGTTGGGATGAATGTCTGTGACTGGCCTGAAGTGACCCAGTGAGCTTCACAGCCAAGTGGGACTGAGAGCCTTGACTTCCTGGTCCAGCTCTTTGATGCCACATCAGCTCTCACAACACTCCCTACCAGATGGGGATTTGAACCCACACGGACATGCATTTTTCAGATCTTAAGGCGACAGCCATAACCACTCAGTCATTTATTTCTTCCTACCTGCAATGCATTCATTACCTTGCATTGATTCTCACAGCAGCCTTGTAAGGTAGATCAGGTTGACTTGCCCACCGTAACCTCACAGGGGAGATCAGAAGTGCCAGTTCATTGTAGTTCCACAAAATAAATAGGCCAATCCTTCTTTTGCACATGCTTTGACCTGTTAAAAATACTCATGTGCATGTCTTCCTGCTTCTAAGGAGTTCATAAATTCTCTTATTATCTTCACAACAGCCCTGCAAAGTAGATCCCATGGGCCCTGTGAAGTAGAAACATAGAAACAAAGTGGGTTAGAAGGGGTCTTCCAGGCCATCTAGTCTGACCCCCAGCTCCAGCCAGCACTGCTGATATAATCCCCAACATGTGACTTGTCCAATCCAAATAGACCTGACAGGTTTGTCCACAACACCTCTAGAAGTGTTGTGAAAATTAAAAGTGAGCTGGGAAGAGCCATGCACATGGTCTTGAACTAGAAGAAAAATGTGGCTTGCATTTAGAATTTTCAGTAATCAAAGCATGTGTTTTGTCCTGTTGAGCTGTATCCTCCACCATTTTATCTTTAGCCAAAAAGTCAACCTGAGGTTGCTCTGCAGACCAGCAGAAGTTCATGCAGTCCCTCTCCACTCTACTGTTTGAGAGTGTTTAACTTGGCACTGCCTCAGATTGAAACTCAGACCAGTATGCACACCACAAGCTGAATGACTGGGCTCGGTGGGCAGTAGCAGCCATATGCAATGTTTGCCAGTGGTAACTGGCATTGTTTTTTGAGCCCCCTTCAAATTGTGGCTTCTCCTTTTGGTTTGCTGGTCAACTGGTAACTATGATCAGTTCTGCACATTTCAGTCTGCCCCAAAGCCTCTTAGCCATTTTTCTAAATATCATTGTATCTCAAGGGTCTTGCGTACACCTTGCTTGAAGGGTGCCTTTTTCATTCTTCAGCAAGTTTAATTCTATTGCCAGAGGTTTGAATTGGGATAAGGGATTATCACCCTAGCTGTGTTAACTGGTTTACCTTGTGGTAAAACGTCCTGCATCAACTGCACTGCCACTTTCTGCATTTAATCTCCTTTTAATCTCACTGTTTATAGTTGTTCCTTATCACGACCCAAGGCACAGGTATAATTCTGAAATTCTACATAACACTCCATGCATTTGATAGAAGAAGATAGAGCTCACACAAGCCTACATGAGAATAAACTTGTTAGCCTTTTGCTGCAGCATAGACACTCTTTGAAAGCCATATTAAAAGGTGCCCTGACTCTAAATATTATTCTACTGTTACATTGAATATATGGACCCTCCTGTTTTCCTCTTGCGAGGAACCCAAGGTGGCTTGCAGGTTCTGCTCTCCATTTTATCCTCAGAACAGCAACCCTGTGAGGGTGGTTAGGCTCAAGCAAACCCAGCACACCCAAGTCCCAAGTTTGATTCCCAGTCCAGCATTTTAAATCCCTATACCACACAGCAGTTTTATACACCTTCATGGGTTTTGATAGAGACCTCCTCCATAGGATGTTTTCGGAGAGATTTGTGGTGGAGCAGCTGCTTTGCATGAAAAAGGCCAAGTTCAATCTCTGACAACTTTAGGGCTGGAAAAATTCCTGCCTGAAGCCCTGGGGACCTGCTGTCAGTCCATGTTGCAACACTGGACTAGATTTTGGTCTCCAAACGTTATAGATGGGTGGGCAATTCTGGGGATTTGAAAAAGGGCTGTGAGTCCCACCATAAAATGCCTCTTCAGTGGATCAGTGCTTCAACTCTCCCTGTTGGGTCTCCCTTACTCAGTGAAAACTCATTTTCATCTCTGTTAAAACCGTATCTCTTTAAATAAGGGATTGTCTAATTCAGCTAATTGCTGGCACTATATTTCAGCTACTGTGTCCTTTATACTGTTTGTTCCTTTATACTGTTTATTCCTGTTTGGCAGCACCCAACCGTTGCTTCTTCCAGAGAGGAAGTTATTTACCTGTTTCATGGAAATTAAGAAATGATAATTGTAAATGGATTCTCTGCATTCTTTCAACAGACTGCTATTACAGCACTGGAAGTCCCTAAAAATACTTTTGATATATGAATGGGTAGCATATTATGAGACTTGAATGGTTGCATGTTTGGATATTTGCTCTTCTTTTGCAGCTGATTTCTAGAAAGTTGTATGCATCTCTTACCTATTCCTTGCTATATATACGAATCTATGTATATCTATTTAAAGCAGGGAAAAATAATAAAAGAAGCTTTGTGGGTGCCCACAGGGACCATCCATGTTGGGGATGCCCTGAGTCCAACTCCTTACCCAGTGGAAGAAATCATTTTAAAATATCTCTGGCAGATGGCTGTCTGGTTTCTCCTCAAATACCTCCAGTGATGGGGAACCCATGCCTCCTTAGCTGATTTCATTGGTTTATCGAAGGCTATTTAGCTGACACTTTGGTGACAAATAGTGTGCTTGTAAGTTGCATTGCTATACTGAAAAAGTGATTTCCTTTGTATTTTCTTTGCTTTCAGCAATTAGAATTAATCACACCATTTCAGCTGTACTTCAACCCTGAACTGATATTCAAGCACTTTCAAGTAAGTATCTCTTTATGTTATCAGGACCCTTGGGGACAGTTGTTACATCCAAGTTTCTGCAATAGAAGATTGCTGATATTTTCAAGAAATGGACTCAGGCAAATCATTTCTCTGCTTGTGGGGTGTTTCAGGGTTGTTGCAAGTGGGAACGCTTGAAGTTTTTGGTGGGAGATGAATGAAAGCATCTGTTTTGATCACCTGCGTTGGTTCCGCCAACGTTCCATGCTTCTGCTCTGTTACCAAGCAGCAGTCAGTTACTGCATGCCTTCTTCTTCCCTTATGCTGAAGTGCCAGAATCAGCCTACGCTAAGAATGTCCTTAAAAACTGAAATTAAAATAGAAATAAAGAGACCGCATTAATTAAAAAAAGTTAAAGGGAGTGTTTAAAGGCATTGGTGCTAAGTAGGCAGCTGACCAGTTTTTCAATTATTGTGGCTTCATGCAATATCTGACAATATTTGACTAGTGGGTAGATTGTCTTAGGATCTTGGTGGTGAGCTAAGGGATATATTTGTTGTGATATTTGCTTTAGAAAGCTACAGATGTTCAGGAATGGAATGTTCTTTCCTTGCTTTAGATTTGCACCTGACCATTAAATCTTCCAACTCTCTTCTGTTCCTTCCTTCTTTGTATGTTCAAAAATCCAATTATGAAAAAAGCAATATCAAGCTTGACTATAAGTCTTTGTTGACCATAGTTGCAAATAAGTTTTGTTGTTCAAAGCTTACCAAAGAAGAGGACTTACTATCCTGCCATGCACTGATTGCCAGCTTGTTTCTGGGCCAAATTCAAAGTGCTGGTTTTAACCTATGAAGTCACACATGGCTCAGGACTGCATATTCCTGTACGGAGCTACCCAGCCCCCGAGTCAGCTTCAGCAGCAGTCTCTCTGTGCATCTTCGGAGAAGTGAGGCCACAGGGGTGTCTGTTCAGAAACAGACCTTTTCTGTGATAGCAGTCCAGTGTTTCTAGAACAATCCCACTTGGGAGCTTATTTGTATTCTTTTGACACCAGGCAAAGATGTGATTTTTCCAGGCATTTGGACCTTATCTGTGGCCCAGTTGTTGGATGTTTGCATGGTGTTCATTTTTGGCTGTAAGAGAAGCCTTGTGCATTTGCAGGTGGAAGCTTTGCCCATTATATTTTTAGTTATGATCTTACAGTGTTTATATTTATTAGTATTTGCACTGATTGCTATTTAAATTGATTTCAGGGTCTTCTTCCTGAGATATTAATAATGGATTTCTGTATGGTGGGCATAAGTCAATTTGAGATTGCTTTTTGTTGTGGGAAGCAATGCATTCTTTTCATAACAATATTTAATATAAGAAGGCATAACTGCTCAGAGTCTATGGGAATGGAGCAGTATATAAATACTAAAAAGTTCTCCACTACCGCAATTTTGTGCAACTTGCAGTGTTTGGGTTCAGTCTGTGTGGCAGCAAAAGCAGCAGAGTCTTCTAACACTCCTAAATGGTTTCCATTTGACCTCATTGCTTAAAATTTCACAGGCACACTTGCCTGCTTCTAAGTGAGAATAACACTTCAGGCATCACATAAAATGCATTCTAGTCCACAAAAGCTTATACCGCACTAAAAGGGAAGCTGCAAGACTCTTTGTTGTTAAATTTACTATGTAAAGGTTTGAGTCCTCTGTTCTCCAAGCAACTGATCCTGCTTTCATGAAAACATGTTTGTATATTTATTACACTCAATAAGGATGCTCTACAAACCTCTGTGCTGTAACATTATTTTTGCTGTCATAATGTTGTCAAGAAAATCAGGTCCATACTTAATTGCTGCCCTAGCAGAAGGCCTAATCCTTAATTGCAAGCAAGCTGCTACTAAGGAGGAAAAAATACTCTGTAAATACCCATTTGTTTGTCTCTCCTGTGTAAAGAAAGGAGAGGAAACCACATCTTGTTCAGTGTGGCCTTAGTTTGTGCACTTAACTGAACTGAAACTTATTTTGATTCATGCAACGGTTTGCTATAAGTACATCTTCTAACATTGGATCACCTTCTGTTTTTGCAGGTATGGAGGCTAATCACCAACTACCTTTTCTTTGGACCGGTTGGCTTTAACTTTTTGTTTAACATGATATTCTTGTATCTTTTCTTCATCGTTTTATAAGCACTCCTTGGGTCCTCGAAATGCAAGAGGATGTATGTAAAAGCCCCTCTGGAAGGGCTCCTGCATTCTGCATGTGTCAAGAAATAATTCACAAGTGGATGATGTAACCTGTTAGAAAAGAGTGCAAGCCATTCCTTTGTCCTTGTGGATTTTAAAGAGTGTTTGTTTTACTGGCTCAGATTTCACCAGTGTGCAAAGATTGCCCTAGCTCTGGGTTTCGAGTTTGGACACAATTCACAGGGTTACCTTAAACCTGTGCAGCTTATCTTGTTTAGGCCCAAGGTACCCAAAGGACTTTCTGTTCCAGTACACCACACTATTTCATCCACTCTAGACACTGCTCCAGGCACCTTGGTTTTTGGCAGTGAAGTTGAGGAATAAGGGCCAAACCCTGAAATATGGATGTTGATTTCTGCAGGGCCACCCCCTCCAAGAAAGGAAAAATTATAAATCTGAGCCAGAGAATAATTTGATGGTTAGAATAGTCATGCTTGCTTTTATTGGAACTTTTCCCCCAAGCATGGAAATATGAATTCTCTGAAGCCAGGGCTGACTAAATCACTCATTAGGAATTAAGTGGGTGGTGACGAGAGACAAGGGCTTTCTTGGTGGCTTCGTTTTCTCAGATCTGCTCAGCAACATATGCCTTCTCTTTTTAGTGCAAGTGGGAAAACATTTTCACGCCGGACTGTTGACCAATTCTTGTATTAAGCACTGGCTCTCTATGGTATTATATATTCTGCTGCTCTGAGATGCAAGACTGATAGCTGTTTTCATCACCTAAAACCTGACATGACAGGTATGGAGACAGACAGGTGTTCAGTAAGAAAACCTTTAGGGAAAATTAGGCCATGGGTGATGGGCCTGCCTAGCCCGGGGGTGGACAAAGCTTTGAAGGGGGCATGTGATGTTGGGCTGAACATTCGCCACACGCACACAACCCCCACCCCGCCTGTGTTGCTGATGTAGTTCAGTCTTTTTGTTGCTCCAGCAATCCTGATAGAAATTGCTCTTTTACAATGAGGAAAGCATAATCTATGAGGATCTATTAAGGAAAGAGTAGAAGGCCTTTTCTCTCAGCCCCCTTTGCCAGTGATCTTGAAGGAGATCACATTTTTCTCACTGCCACTGAGGAAAAAGGAATTTGTATCAATTGGTCGTGGGTAAGAGGATTCATGGCACTGTTGGAGATGGGAATTAAGGGCTCGGGGGTTGATATGCAGCCCCCGAACTGGGTTGCACACCTCAGATTTCACCTGTGTGGCAACATTTTTCCTACCAAGCCACTCAGAGTGGCTTACATAATTCCCTCCTCCTCTCAGTCTTATTCTTGCAACAGCAACCCTGTGAGGTAGGCCAGGTTGAGACTGTTCCTGGCCCATAGTCGCCCAGTGAACTCCATGGCTGAGTGGGGACTTGAACCCAGATCACCTGCATGCCATGCTGTGCTCTTAACCACAATGTCACGCTGTCTTGACTTGCGTGTGTTAACTGCTCCATTAAGTCTGTGTAAGAGAGTGATCTGCGACTTGTAGCTGAGATGTGGGATTTTTTTTTTTTATTTGGTACTACGCCGGGGCATTTTATTCAAAATACTTCCACATTTAGGAGCCAAATTAAAGTGTTGCTTCCCCACCCCCAGTATTTATTAGTGCTTGAATTATCACATCACTGCACAATGTGGACTCTTGGCAGCATTTTATGATTATTGCATGATGTTTTGTACAAACAGTTTTGCTGGCTTGATTTGGGAACTGCCTTGGAGGTGGAACATCATAATTTTTAAAAAATAAATATTTTTGGTGGTCCTTCAAGTTGGGGAAGCAAACCGTTTCCCCTTTCAGCTTTTTCAATGGATAAAATGACCTCCTTGCTAAATGTCAGCATGATTCGCTTTGAAAATGCTCTCCCAGGTTGGAGTCACCTGCTAGGAAAACAGATTTGATGACAGACTCACACAGAAGCGAGCCATTTATTATTTGTTTCTTTCCTGTTTGGCTTTGAATACCCTTTCTTTAGACAGCAAAGCAAATTGTCAACTTCTCAGTCAACTAAACCTTGTCAGCCGAAACGCAGCTGGTCTCTTAATATATCCACTGCCCACTGCTCCAGAGTCACTGATGCTGGTTCAGAGGGTGTGGCCAGGCCTGCTAGAAGAAGCAGACGACCTTGGTGGGTATCGCTGGCATTGACCTTGCTTTGCCAGCTGGTTCTGAAGCGGAGCAACGAAAGAGAGGTCCCAGTTTTAACATCCTAGAGCTATTGGAACTCAGGAAGAGCCCCCTGCTTAAAAAACAGGCTTGCCAGGTGAGGTGCTACATTTCTTGGCACAAGATGATACTTCTCTAACCAGGTGCCCGCTGGACGTCTGGGGCTGCAACCCCCAATGGGCACGCTAGCTGGGAATGATGCGAGTTGCAGTCCAGCGCGTCTGGGAGGCTCCAGGATGGAAAAGGCAGCATTAGAACAAGATGAGTGATGCCTGACTGGCTGGCAGACACCTCTCTCCCCCAGCCCCCTTCCCCGATCCTTGGAAATCATCCACGGGAACTTTTAGAGCCAAAACACAGTTGGCACCTTCATCTCCTTCTGAAAGTAAAAGCTAACAGGACACGCCCTGGTATGCAGAGTTTTCCTGACCGTGTAACTTCAGATATCGCTACTGCCGAATGCTTGAGGAAGGCTCCTTTCGAGGACGGACAGCAGACTTCGTGTTCATGTTCCTTTTTGGTGGACTCTTAATGACTGTATCCTTTTGCTTCTGAGCTGGACAGTAGCTAAGATTTCCCCACCTTGGGAGCAGCTGCAGGGGAATTCGGGGTATCTTTCCCAGTGCGCATTGAGCATACACAGGGCTGCGGGGGGACCCAGCAAATGTAGGCGATTCCAGCACTGACAGCGCAGAACAGAACAGTTCTCCTGCCGGGGTCACACCACCGTGCGTTATACACAACGAGTGGCGCATGAAGGTGGCCCCAATCCACCCTAAAGCCACATTGGAGAAGCCCTCCACAGCTTCTCTCCAAACTGAGAGAGTTTGTCATAGCGCAACACTCTCAAGGTGGACAGTTAGTCCACCGTGCAGATCAATCGAGGCAGCTGCGGGACCTCAGCCTGGGATTACAGGGAGACCCGAGTGCTCTCTGGGCACAAATTTACTTGTATGAGGAAGCAGAAGCTAATGAAACCATTGCCAATCCAGCATTGGGAATATGTAAAGAACAGCCTTCCCCACCCTGCTTTGAATTACAGTTTCCATCATTCCCAGCCACTGCTGTGCTGAATGGGACTGATGGCAGTTGCCGCTGGAGACAGCTGGACGGAAGCGGCTTGCCTGCTTCTAGGCCCTTCTGCTTCGAATTCTTTATTGTGCCCTTTCTGTTTTTATCATGGGTTTGCTGGCCGGAGGGCTTTTAGCCATGAATTCATTTTAAAAACCCACCCTGCACAAAGCCCCTTTCTCCTTGTATTACGTGTGTGTGAGTTTGTGTGATGTGTGGATAGCCGTTCTTCATTACTGTTTTGCCTGTTACGGGAAGTCTTGCTCTGGAGGCCTAGCTGAGTTCAAACCTCACTAATTTTCCAGCTACCACAAAGCCTTGAGTCTGTTTAAACATCACACCAAGTGTTGGTCAGGAAGCTAAAATGTGGTTTTACAAACTGTGGTTTGCAGATACTGCTTAAGCATAAGTTGAAACCGCAGTTTGAAGTGGTGTGCATGCCATGGTGCGCATAGATACATGAAATGAAAGAAATGTTTACAGCCGCTTCCCACTGCCTTTGTATTTCAATGGTTCCATTTCTGTTCACAGTGTCTCTTTAACCATCTCTCCACCAGCTCTTTGGCTTGTTTGTCAACTTGGTTTTCTTAGGCCAGGCATTTACAATAATGCTAGTGTATGTCTGGAGCCGCAGGAACCCTTTTGTCCGCATGAATTTCTTCGGCCTTCTCATCTTTCAAGCACCCTTCCTTCCATGGGTTCTCATGGGATTTTCACTCTTACTGGGAAACTCCATTATTGTTGACCTCCTGGGTAAGAAAAGCATAATTCTGACAGTATGGAGAACGTGAGGAAACCTTTCCCTTTTCAACCAACCTTATCTGATACCGGTGTAGGGTTGTTTTACATTTTCCACATGAACGCATGGTGAATTGGGTCATTCTGCAGTGGGTTTTTAAATTATGGACACGCAGCTGTAGAATTGGGCAACAGCCTTCTTATCTGACCCACCCCAGATCCACAAATACTGCAACTCTACAGCCGAAGACTAATTTGAATTATTATTAGAAATGCTATGTAAAACAAGGTGCTGTGCAGTGTGAATATCTAGAAATTGGTAAGGGCAGCAAAACTGCCTGCTGGTGTATAATCTTAATTTGCTTTCCCCAGCTTGGTGCTCTCCAGAGGTTTGGGATATCAGCTCCCATCAGGCCCAGCCACCATGGCTAATAGTCTGGGATGAAAAATCCTGGAAGGCACCAGCTTTGGGAAGGCTGTGCTAAATAGACGTATGAGGCAAGGGAAGAGGAAGAACAAGACAAAATCAAAATAGTTCTGTTACCTGAAAAGGCAAGTAAAAATAAGTCCGTCTGGCGGAAGAAAATATCTCTCTTAACCATGGTGAAGAGACTGGGAAAAGCTCGCAAGCTTATGTGTCATTGTCCCTCTTGAATTGTCCAGCGTGGATTTCTATGCCTGCTGGTGGCATTTAACCATGGTTGGCATCACATCTGCATCCATTCTGAACGGTTAATGCTACTCAGAGCAGTTCCATTCAGCCAGGGATTGATTACACCGACACTGTAATTAAAATGGACCTACACACACCCACGCGGTCGTGATAGGTCAGGCACGACTTTGCGACTAACAACATCACACACACAGAGAGTAGGGTGTTGTGAGATGCGAGAGGGGAAGGAAAAAACCTGGGCCTTCCCAGTAGAAACATAGAAGCAGAGCGAGTCAGAAGGGGCTTCCTGGGCCATCTAGTCTGACAGCTGGCTTCATTCATGACATGCCTGCCATGTGCATGTCAGTAAGCTGGTCCCCACCTCATTAACCAATTTTTAAAGGATTTCTCCTCACAGCACTCTAAACCTAAGTGGAAACACCCCTTGGTTTTTTGTCCAAGCCTGTAGAGGCTTGTGGCCACCTGTGGCCACTGATTCTTGTGTGTTTACCTTCCAGTTCAGTTTCCATAGAGGGATATTCACATACATTTTTTTTCCTAATCTGTCTGGGACTAGCTACAATAATATGTTGGGCAAAGAGCAATTAGGCCTTTAATTTTGTAGTGCAACTAGAATGCCATATTTGCAAAGGCAGCACTGAAGAAAGATCTCAACTTTTTCTCTTTTATCTCTAGGCATTGCTGTAGGTCACATATATTTTTTCTTGGAAGACGTCTTCCCAAATCAACCCGGGGGTGGAAAGCTGCTCAAAACACCATCAATTCTGTACGTGCCTTTCTGTGTCAGGCGTTTTCTTTGGCAGGAAGGTGGAAAAGCTCCGCAAATCAGTTCAGAGGCGCTGGGGTGTTCAGGGTGATGGGGCAAGGAATGAATGGAGATGGGCTTGTGATGCTGGGATAGGTTTGCTTAGCTTTTGATCCTTTGCCCTCATTTCTGTAAGCATGAAGTCCGGAGCTGCCTCTTTTTTCTAGCAAGGGTAATTGACTGCACATCAGCTCTGCAATAGGTAAACTGATCTCCCAGGTAATAGACTGTACATTGCCAGAGGCACACAGAGGAAATGCCTTACGTGCGGAAGCAGGTGTCGAAACATTCCTGCCCAAGGCCCCAAAAAGACACTGCCATCCATCCATGACCCCTCCCCAATTTCCAAACACCAGAGGCGCAAGAGGATATAGCGAGCAGCAGGCCATTTGGGGGCTTTCTCAAAGTAGACCCTGTGGCCACCCGCTGCCAAATGCAAGCTAGGTATTTTCAGTTCTCTGACTTGCTGATACAAGCATTTCTTAATTTTCCAAACAGGAAAGCAATATTTGATACACCAGAAGATGACCCCAATTATAACCCACTGCCTGAAGAGCGGCCTGGCGGCTTTGCCTGGGGCGAGGGCCAGCGCCTTGGAGGCTGACTACAGGCTGCTTGGCTAACACGCAACCAACTTCTCTGGGGACAGGCGAGAGTCACATGGGAGATGTACCTGCCATGTTGCGGAGGAAGGAAGTGTCGACAGCTTTATTAGTGTGAACATACAAGACCCCTTTTTTCCAAAGAAAGAAGATATAAAATGGTGTTCTGCCAAACATACCTTTTCCAGGAAATTGACGGGAATATCATGCTCTCTCGGGAGCTATCCTTGCATTGAGTGGTTCAGGAATGAGTTTTCCAAGCCAAGACAAACTGAAAATGCAAGCTTTCTCAACACATTTAGTGAGATCATCAGTTGTTGTGTTAAAAAGAAAAACAAATTATTTCTAAGGCTTTTTTTTCAATTTTATTTGATACAGGGACTGGAGAACTTCAAAAGATGAATAAAACTTTTGATTTTCCATTTTGATTAGATGCTTTGAAACAGATGAGCTCACTTTGGTCTTTGGCTTTAGCAAAAGCACTGTTGAAACAAAGCAGTGCCGAAGATCCAATCTTGTTCTCCAAAGTCTTGGGTGGATTCTGTTTGCTGCCTACCTGGAAACCTTCGTGTTTGTCCTGCTGCTGCTGCATTTGTGGATTGAGGCTGCTGTTAGCAAGGGTGGAAGCAGCTGCGTGGCTTCAGGTGAAAGCTGGCCAAGCAAGGATGCAACATTCACACAGTCCCTAAGTGAGGCACCTCTCATCATTGTTAAATGTATCTTCTGACCTGTAGGGAGAAAATTAGCGCTGTATGGAACGATCAGCCCCCCCCCCCCCGCAAAAAAAGTGGCAATTGAGGCCATACTTCGGGATCACCAAAATAGTCTGGACAGAGATGAGAAGTTAGCATTGTCTCGCAAATAAAGTGGGAACTGGCTGTGGCACACGTGGGCTCGGGTTCCGCCACTGGTGTGAGCTTGTTGTGTGATTGACAGCAGGGCTGACCTTTGATTTCTCCCTCTGTAAAGCACAGCACGGGGTTGCTCTGAAGCAGGTGAAGGAGGCTATGAAGCAGTGTCTAGGGCCTGCGATGCTTGAAGTGGGATCTGAGGCACAGTGATGCGGCAACAGTGCTTCAGACGCACCTGCTTCCAGAAGATCGCAGTCGGTCTCCCCTCCCACCTGCTTTTCCAGCCATCACTTCTTTAGTGAACATGTATGGCCCCTGACCACAATCAGACCTTATTTAGGGATTTGACTCTAACTTTTTCCGCCTAAAGGATGTTTATACTTTTGCCAGCCTTTGGGTACCTTGTCCGGGTCTCCCGTGTTTGGGTGATGCCAAGCTTGGCTACCTAAGTCAGTGGCACGCTTGCCTGAACACTAGAAATTAAAGGAACAGTGTGAGTTGAGTTCAGATCCTCACTTCTGGCTTCCACCATGTACTCAATAAGGGCACAATCCTATACATGTTCAGAGAGCAGATAAAAGTCCTACTGCTGGGCATGCTGGGAGTTGTAGGACTTTTTTCTCCTCTAAACATGGATTGTGCCTCAGGTGGTTAGTTTAAAACATTCTGCTATGGAGTAAGCTCTACTAGAAAGTGTGACTTGTTCTTAAGCGTAGAACTGCATTGTCATTGGCCGCAGGCAACTCACACAGCTCTTGCTAAAATCTGTAATAAATGGATATTATAAGGGCTATTTTAAAATGCATTCAAAAATCAGGTCCTTTGAACCCTCAGAGGTTCACTCATCTGGTATTAAACTATTGCATATGAAGAGCTAGCATGGCGTAGATACGGGTGCAAGAAAGCTGGTGGTCAAAGCTGTGTATACTGGCTATTGAACCGTCTGGGCCCCTAGCCGCCTTTTCCCCAGCCACTGTGGACAGTGACTGTCATGACCGGAAAAACTCCAGCCGCAGCCCATCCTGTTTGGAGAGCACTGGTTTGGGCAAGGCCAGTGTATTCAGGAACTTGTTCCAAAGTACAAAATACTTTGCAAAAAGCAAGGCCCTTTCCTGAGTTTGCTACAGTCCTTGTCCTTGTGCTGTGGCCATCTTGAGAATCTCGTCCTTTTTGCAGTTCTGGAGGAGACAGGAAAAGACTGGAGCCAGTGGGCTTCCCTACATGGCGAGAGAGTGGTGCTGAATTCATGTGTGTGCCAAGGCACCGTGCCTTCCCCACTCAAGGTGCTCGGACTTGGGTAGCCATTACACTTAAGGCTGCAGAGGAAGCCCTGGCAAGGTGTATTTCTGGGTAAGCGCACCAAGGGTCAGGCTGCAAAAGCTGAGGCCGTTCCAGAGCATTTGTCTCGGTGCCTTCCTGCTTCCAGAGGCAAGGAGGACCCCTGCCTCGGGCGGCTTTAAAAGGGTATTGGCCAAATTCCTGAAGGAGAAAAGATCCAGTGCTAGCCATGAGCATGTTGAAGAGCAGCGTGCCTCTCAGTACTAGTTGCTGGGATGCAACGACAGGAGACACTGCCTTCCAGCACAGCTTGTGGGCTTCTCAGAAAACATCTGGCTGGCCATTGTGGGAAGCAGAACCATTGTTTGGCCCAGCCTTTGCTACTTACTTTTAGAATCAAAAAGGTGGTATGAAATATTACTGCATCTTACAACTGTTTAAATGCTTTTGTTTTCCTGTACATAGAATAATTCTGTGCCTTTTTACCATATTTGGAAAAGACAGATAACATTGGCATGGGTGAGCAGATTTGTAATAGAGTTCTTTTAACAGGGATGCCAAATATTGAACTTGCCATGAAGCCATCATGACTAGCCACCTCCTGACAACCAAAGAAAATGGCCAGCCAAACCAACCTGTCATAGTCATCAAGACGGTATAGCTGAAACAATACAACTTCCTTGCTCTCATTGGCTGGAGTAATGCGAAGAAAACAACCTTGAGATGGCAACAGTGAAATCAAGATCTCTGAATCTGTGTAGATGCTGCTTAGAGGTATTAGGATTCTTCTCACAGAAGACGTGGGAGCAGGAATACTTTGTTAGGTTCAAAAGGGATGAGATGATTTTATTTATTTAAAACATTTCTATGCCGCCCCCATCGCCACAAAGCCTCAGGGCGGCTCACAACATAATTAAAACATATAAATAACAGTACAATTAATTAAAAAGCTTGGTAACATCTCGGCATAAAATTTAAAATCCTAAAAATACATAATAAATTAACAATTAAAATAAGTTGTAAATAAAAAGGTCTTAGCCTGGTGCTGAAAAACAAATAATGACGGTGCCAGGCGGACCTCTCTGGGGAAGACTGTCAAGCACTTTTCCAAACATTTTCATTCTGTGTTTCTTGGGCATCAGGTACTGGCAGGCTGTGAAGTGTGGGGCAGATTTTTGTTACAATAAGGCTTCTGAAATGATGGAAGGGGTGTTTACATGTGATAGGACGTAAGTGGATTGGTTGGCACTCTAGCCAATTTTGAGAAAGTGTCTCATTTTGAGAAACTACCTCAAAAATGTACAGAATGGGGTGCCAGATCCATCACCTTGGGAATCTCAGCTTTCCTGTTTGTTAATGTTATTTTAAAGATCAATGTTTAGTCCTCAGGGCTGCAAGGATTCAATCTCAGGTCAGAGAGGCAGGTGAACCAAATATCCACTGGCAAAGACAGAGCTTTGGTAGCTTCCATTACTCTGTTTCACCCTGTACAAGCATTTATAGGGCATTTTTAAAAGTCAGGATAAATTAGGTAGAATAAAACTAATGCTGACTTACTTTACGGCAGCTTTTTTCAGCCTTGTGCTTTCCAAATGTTTTGGACTTTGGCCCCAGAAAATATGGTCAGGGATGCTAGGAATTATAGTCCAAAATATCTGGCAGGTTCTAGGTTGGGGAAAGCGGCTTTATTGTCACTGAGAGCCACCGTGGTGTACTAGCAAGAGGGCCAAGTAGGAACTAGAGAAATTTCTTTGCAACCTGCATTGTTAGGAAATATCCCTGCAACCTGCTTCACAGGGTGGTTGTGACGATAAAATGGGGGAGGAGCATTGGGATTCTGTAAGCCACCCAGGATTCCTTATGTCGTGTCCGACCCATCGCGACCCCATGGACAACACTCCTCCAGCCTTTCCTGTCCTCCACCTTCTCCCGGAGTCCACCCAAGCCCCAGTGACCCCATCCAGCCACCTCATCCTCTGCCGCCCCCTTCTCCTTTTGCCATCTATTGTTCCCAGCATCAGGCTCTTCTCCAGGGAGTCCTTTCTCATTAGGTGGCCAAAGCATTTGAGTTTCATCTTCAGGATCTGGCCTTCTAAAGAGCAGTCAGGGTTGAGCTCCTCTAGGACTGACCGGTTTGATCGCCTTGCGGTCCAAGGGACTCGCAGGTGTCTCCTCCAGCACCGCAATTCAAAGGCCTCCATCCTTCGGCGCTCAGCCTTCTTTATAAGGAGTATTAAAAAAAAAAACCCCTATAAGAAAGAGGAAATCATAAAAATACTGTGCCCGCCCGCCTGCAGGGGGCGCTTCTCTTGGAAGCGATATAAAACCCCGTCCCCAGGAGCGCAACGCGCATGCCCGGCTTAAACGGCACGCGCGTCACGAGCTACACAATGCGCATGCTCGCCCTGAAAGAGGAACGCTTCCAATAGGTACTCAAGAGCGCCGGCGCGAAGCCTGCTGGGAAGTGTGGTCCGCGCACGCCCAGGCAGGGGGCGGGTCCAGCAGAGCGTGGTCCCTGACGCGGCCGGCGAGGCGCCGAGACCGGCGGCGGCGCTGGTGTCGAGGATGCCTCAGCGAGGCGGCGAGCTGCCCGCGCCGAAGAAGCCGAAACTGGCCTCCGCCGCGGCGCCGCTCGGGCCGGGACCGCGCAGAGCGATGTTCGCGGCGACACCCGGAGCGAAGCGCCACCCGCCGCCCGCCGGCGGCGGCGCCTCATCCGCCGCTTGTCCCGCAGGCATCGACAGCCAGCGGCGGAGCCTGCCCATCTTCCAAGCGCGGGGGGCGCTGCTGGGGCAGCTGCGCGGCCTGGACTGCGCCGTCCTCATCGGTGAGCAGCGCCGCTCCCCTCCCCCGCACCCTTCTTTTCAGCGCCTGGGCGTGTCCCGGGGAAGGGCTTGCGGAGGACACGCCCCTTTCCCGAGGGAGCCGTGAGGCGATTGGGAACGCCAGAAGGAAGGGCGGGGCCTCTGTAAATCCCGCTGCTGGGTGGCCCCGCCCCCCGCCTCCCGCCTGTGGTATTGGCAAGCGCGCCCCTCTTTCAGTGCGGCGAGGAAAGGGCGTGTTTTAAGGAATGCCTCCTCTTTTCCTCGCTGGGCGGGGCCTATGCAAGCCCCGCCTTCCCTGGCTCTCTTTGAGATTCGGGGAACTGCTCCCTCTTTTGGTGGGGGGGAACCCTTGAACCCCCCTTTCCTTTTCCTAGCAGCCCCTCTATCCCTTTCTGCCCCCCCTAGCTTCACGTCTAGTGATGGGGTCCTTTCTGAAATTGCTTGCAGCTGCAGGAGATAATTTGGCACCTGCTTACAGGGATTACAACTCCCATCATCTTCAGCTGCCATTGTCAGGAATTGTGGGAGTTGTAGTTCAGAGCATCTGTGCGGGTCCTGGATGCCTACCCTGGTTAGATGCAACCTTCTTCAGTTATTTTGGACTACACTGCCTGGTATTCATGGTTTTACTGGCACGGACTGATGAGAGTTGACATGGGTATTGGAGTAGAGCTTGAAAGTTCAGGGTTCTAGTGCTCGCTTAGTCATGAAGCTCACTGGGTTACTTTTCATCAGTTACTGACTGTTAGCCTAGCCTGCCCCACAGGGCTGTTGTGAGTGTAAAATGGAGAGGAGAACCATGGAAGCAGCTTTGGGTGCCTTGGAGACACGCTGGCACGTATAGGTAATGCGTAGCTACGCACGCGAAGCATGCAAGAGCACCGGTTTTGGAAGAGCCTTGTCCATGCAGCTGTGCCAGCCTCCTTTCCCTACAGTGTCTAACAAGTGTGACTGTCACGTGCTGTATGCGCAAGGGTGTGTGTGTGTGTGTGTGTGTGTGTGTGGTGCCTCAGGGATGCCGATGCTGCATTACTCTTAAAGTTTGCTTAACAGTCTTTGATCGTCTCTTCACGGCAGGGGGGGCCACCCTTTTTGCACCTGGTGCCCAGGCGGATTCCAGAAGCTCTCTTGGCCACCAGCACAGGATGGAAGCGCTGCAGATTAAAGCTCTGGGCTGCCATCTTCATTTGCTAAGAACATCTCTGGCTCACAGGCGTGCCAGGGAAAAGATGGGCGCCCACTTTGCTTTGAAGCTATCCTGGCTCTCACAAGAAATTCTGTCACTTCAGCACACCCACACACACACAGTGTGGGACTGGCTGAACACCAGCTAAGCTGTCCGAGGGCACATAAGTGCGACGGCCTCCATGCCGCCTACCCTCAATTTGAGGAATATATTTCATTTTATCTTGTCTTTCCTCTGAGATGTTCAGGATGGACTACATGGGATGGGGGGTGCACTTACTTGTCCAGAACTGCTCCCTTCTTGGTGCTGAAGCAATAATCCCCTGGCCATGCGTTGAATCAAGTAAGGCTGCCATGCTCTGCCTGCTTCCCCGGGTGAAAAATCCCACTGTGCTTGGTGGCGCTTCTTTTGCCAGCCTACAGCAGGAACTTGGCAATTCTCTTTTATTTTCTGTTCCCAATTTTCCATGCGCCAGGAAAGTGGGAAAATCTCACTGGGAAGTGACAGTCACATATTTAGCATCTTGGATTGTTTTGGCGGACGCTGCAAGCACGAACCCCCAATTTTCATTGCTGGAATGTCCTGCAGGAGAAACAGGCTCTGGGAAGACAACTCAAATCCCACAGTACCTCTACGAAGGGGGAATTGGGCGCCAAGGTGTCGTTGCCGTGACCCAGCCTCGCCGCGTGGCTGCTATATCCTTGGCTACCCGGGTCTCGGATGAGAAGAAAACGGAGCTGGGAAAACTGGTATGTCTCCATTTGGCTAAGGTGAATGGGGCCAGCACACGCCGAAACCGGTGCTTTGCAAATCAGGGGCCCCTGGCGCTCATGCCCGCCCCCCCCCCGGCCGAATTTTCATCGGTCTCTTTCCTTGTGTGCAGTGTTACCATAACTAAGGGTCAGCAGGCTCTTTCCTAACCAGACCAAGATCTGGTCTCAGGAATGCATCTCCACCTTCTTTCCTTCTTCAGCATCAAACCTGGTTAAGTGTTACACGCACGTGAATGCGAATGACAGTTGAGACTACCCAGGCTCAGGCACAATGGAATGAAAAGCAGCCCTCAGGGAGAGAAGCTTCCGCTGGACTTTGGGCGTTTGTGCTGAAGGGCCTGCTACAACAGAGGCAGGGAGACTTGAGGCGCGTGGCTCTGCTCGGTTCTGGGGTTTTGCTTTGCTAGAGCCCTGAGATCTGCCAAGAAGGGACTACTGCAAAAGACACGTACTTAGAATTACAAGATCTCAGGCCCAGGAATTAGCTCTGTACCAGGGATGCAGGTGGCGCAGTGATTTAAACCGCTGTGCTGCTGGGCTGGTTGATCGAAAGGTCGCCAGTTCGAATCCGCAGACAGGGTGAGCTCCGTTGCTCCGGCCCAGCTCCTGCCAACCTTGCAGTTCAAAAGCATGCAAATGTGAGTAGATGAAAAGGTGTCACTTCAGTGGGCAGGTAACAGCGTTCCTGCACCTCGGTGTTTAGTCATGCCGGCCCCATAACCACGGTGACCGTCTGTGGACAAGCGCTGGCTCCCTCGTGAGGAAACGGAGATGAGCACCGTCCCCGAGAGTCAGCCGTGGCTGGACTTAATGTCAGGGGGAAACCTTTACCTTTTACCAGGACGCCAGGATCTGGCTCTGGTACGCCGTCTGCTGGCCAGACCCGCAATGGCCACTGTGGTACTTGCCACATCGGGCCCAGGCTGTGCTGGAGTGCTCAGCCCCCTGACGAGTGCCGGCAGGGAAACCTGGGAAACAGCTATGTAAGGGAAATCGTTCCCCTGCAATTGCTCTAGTTGCTTTGATCTGGTTGCTGCCTTCGCTGCTTGACCTTTGACTCAGCTACAGCCATGCCCTCATCTGGCTTTAAGGCCCCCCTCCCCCCCTCCTGACTCTCTTGACCAGTCCAACTACCAGACTCTGAGTAGTGCTGAAGCCCACCCAGGGTCTGGTCCCTCCTGCTGCCCACGCCCCAGACCTGCGCACAGGACAGAATGGAGCTCACAATCTTCTTCTGCACACAAAAACCCCACTTCTAGTGATCCCTCATTTTGGTGATGTACGTGGGGGTGGCGGGAGGGCAAAGCCAGATTATTCCGGAAGCCTCGCTGATCTCTTGCAGTCCCTCCCTTCTGTCCCTCCTCTCCCTCCAGCCTAGAAATTTCTAAAATAAAAGTAAACCAAACAGGTGTAGGAGGACTGGGCTAAATGCCTGGCTGAAGATCATCCACTAAATTCATGGCCGATCCTATGTTAAAACCTGGGACTTCCTGATTAATTTCTCAGTTTCTTGGGTGCTGTGAAAGCTTGCAGTTTTCTCTCCCCTCTCCTCAACAGCCTCTGAATTTGTAATCCTCTCACCTCGTTTTCAGCAACAGTCCTGTGCTAAGGGGGTGTTGGCAAGAATTCAGGAGGTTCATTTTAATAGAGGCATGGCCGGCAGACATGGACCCCAGGTGATCCGCGCTCTTCCTTTCTCTCCCTCCCTCTCCCACGGCCGCAATGCTCAGGTCGGCTACACCGTGCGCTTTGAGGACCTCACCTCCGAGGAGACCAAGATCAAGTTCCTGACGGACGGGATGCTGCTCCGCGAGGCCATTGGTGACCCCCTCATGCACAAGTACAGCGTTGTCATTTTGGACGAGGCCCACGAGAGGACGATCCACACAGACGTTCTCTTTGGTGTGGTGAAAGCGGCGCAAAAGAAGCGGAAGGAGCTGGGGAGGGCACCCCTGAAAGTGAGTGCCGGGAAGCCGAGTTGGGGGCGAGTTGGGGGCTGGCGGGCGGCAGGTGGTTACAGCGCAGCGGGCCTGGGTCACACCCGGCTGTTTGAGACTGGCCGGTTCACAGGACTTGTGGACTTGGGTCCGGTAGCCGTATGTGCAGGGCAGGTGTCACGCACCCCGGTCCACCCCTTCAGCCCATCAGGAGGGGAGTGGGCCTTGCTCCTTGGGGGCTCAGTTAGTAACACTTGTCTCCATTCCAGCAGTTCACACTGCCCCACCGCCAGATCCACAAGGCAGTGCTATAAGAACGAACTGGGAGTCACTGCCCCCGCGTTCCCGAAAGCAAAGAAGCAACCTTGCTTGAACTGCTTCATTTCATTTCATTTCGTTACTGTCGTGTGCACGCACTCCGAGGCGATTCCCAGGTGCACGCGTGGGATGGCTGCTTTTGGTGGGAATGGTAGCTCAGACTCTGAGGACGACGAGGGGCTGGCTGCACCAGACGTGGCTCAGAGTTCACACTCTGACCACGGAGTTGTTGCGACTGATGGGCCCACGTCTGGCCAACTCTCCCATCGTGCCTGCCTGAGCCAGCTCTGGTTCGAAGGAGTCCAAGGACAACCTTGGGGCCCTGTCTCCCTCCCATCTGTGGGAACGAGGCAGACGAAGGACAGGAGGGGGAACAATTCTCAGAGGGAGAACATGAGCCCCCCCAAGATATGGGTGCGAACCCGTCGTCACAGCCTCAGGCTGGACCAATCAGGGGCTCAGAGTGCAGGGAGAAGGCACATGCGCTTTCACAGTGCACCTCCTTCCAGAGTCCGGCCCCGAAGGGTTCATGAGCAAAGCTTTGGGTAAAGGGGGCAGAGAGGGGTCAACACTTCTCCTCATGTATGCTCCAAGGCTTGTGAATGCGCAGACTCCTGTGTAGACTCTCCCGAGAATTGCTGAAGTGACCGTCTTGCTTGGGAAGGGGACTCCTAGCTCGCCTAGTTACTCTCTTACTTGCTTTTGATCCTTCCCTCCTGTGGTCTCCAGCGTGTGTCCCAAAATCCGGTCCTGCAGACATAATTCTGACTTGACAAGTTCACCAGCCCGTTCTCTGCCTGGTTGCAGGGGGCAGTGAGGAGAGCCCAAAGCGGGAGCCGCACGGACATTTTTGCTTCGCAACGCGGGACTTCTGCCTTCCTCACATGTTGCGTGTTGCAGCTGACACACAGCAGGGATGGAGCTGCCCACGCAGGCTGTTCCTCGCGCGCCGTCCTCGGTAACCGAGGCTGCTTCTTACAGGTCATCGTGATGTCCGCCACCATGGACGTGGACCTGTTCTCACAGTACTTCAATGGCGCACCTGTCCTCTACCTGGAAGGCAGGCAACACCCCATCCAGATCTTCTACACCAAGCAGCCACAGAGCGATTACCTCCAAGCAGCGCTGGTAACCGTCTTCCAAATCCATCAGGTACCACATCGCTTTGGATCCTTTTGTATACCGAGCACTGCGACTGCTTTTACTGAGCTGCCGCATTTTTATCCTGCCCCTCCGTCTGTCTGTGTGGTTCCTTCTCCCTTCCTTCCGATGTTGTCCTTGTGAGGAACGTTCGACTGAGAGATGCTCCCTGACCCGACGAGCCAGTGCTTGAGCTTCGTGGCTGAGCGGGCATGTGGACCCGTGCCCTGTTTGACAGGACTTCCCCGAGCAGGTGTCCTCCAGATGTTTTGGGCTTCGGCTCCCATGTGCCCCACCAGCCTGGTCAGGAGTCCCGGGAGTGGCAGACCGGAGGGCACCCCATTGATGAAGCCTGCATTCTTGGTCTCTGCCTACAAGGGGCCTGAAAAAATAAAAACGGGCTCCTTGAGTTGGGTCTGGGTGCCAATTTTCCCTCAGGCGGCAGAGAAGCAAGTGAGGAAGGGTGGAGCTTTTCCGCCACCTAACCAGCGGCCTGCAGCCCTCCCTCCACTGTCACCTGGCAGCAGCCGGTCCCTCAAGAGACCTGGACTGTCGCTACCACAGCCGCTCACAATAGGCGCTAGAACAGCATGAGCTACTGCCGGGCTTGCTTTTCGTCTTCCTTCCCCATCACTTTGCCTTGTGTGCTATGCCTTTTTGGCCAAGTCTGAGGGCAGAGCACTGTCTTATTAGTGACATTTACAAGCCGCTCTGGGATCTGCTTTGGCCAGGGAGCAGTACGAAAATGCTTCAGATCAGCCTTCCTCAGCTGGGTGCTCTCCAGACTGACTGAATTTCAGGCCTGGAGCGCACCCAGATGCATGAAGCCACCCAGAAGTGCAGCCACAGTGGATGGAAATGAGGGAGAGTTGCAGCCCCAAGCACCTTGGCTAGCCGGGTTGGGGAAGGCCAACACAGTTACATAACTAGAAGTCTGTGTTGTTTCCGCAAGAGTGGCCAAGATGTCTTGGACTGGCCTGGGCTCCACCTCTTCACCCACTCCCTGCTGACGCAAGGGTTCGAGCCTGAGACCTCCACTTGCAAGGTACGGTGGTACCGCCAGGTAGTGGTGGTTGTCCCCTAAGACATCTAATCTCTTTGAAGGAAGCCCCTGCATCCCAGGACATCCTGGTGTTTCTGACTGGCCAAGAAGAGATCGAAGCCATGGCCAAGACGTGCCGGGACATCGCGAAGCACCTTCCGGATGGCTGCCCCCAGATGGTGGTGCTACCCCTTTACGCTTCTCTGCCTTATTCACAGCAGCTCCGGGTCTTCCAAGTCGCACCAAAGGTAAGAGGCCAGAGAGAGGTGGCAGGAGTGGATTTCTTACCACCAGCAATGCTGCCTCAAAAGGAAAAGCAAGTTCTCATGCATAATATTCCAGATAGCACTCAATAGGTAGATGAAGGCCTGATTTGTGAGAAATGTTTGCTGGTCAAGGAGTTCTGTGCCCGTAGTTGACCTCCAGTTTGGAGACCCACCTGTGTGACAGAAGGGTCTGCGGAAGGGTGTACCCAAACGGGTGTCATGACGACTCTTCTGAGAGTGGGCCATGAAGGGCGGAACCACAAGGAAGGTGCTTCCATGTCTAGGGCTCCACAAAGGAAAGATTCCCTGGACTCACCTCCCGTTCTCGGAAACCAGATTCAGCCCCTGCCTTCTTTGCCACTTTTCTCTGCATGTCATGAGCAGAGCTGGCTGGAGCTGGGGGTCAGACTAGATGGCCCGGGAGGCCCCTTCTAACTCGCTCTGTTTCTCTGTTTCTATTTCCCTTGATCCGTTCTTTATTGTCCGTAACAGTTTTTAATTTGTTCCCCTGTTTTGATTGTAGAGAACCAGCTTGAATGTTTTTGAGAAATTATAAGGCAAATGAGGGTGATGAATAAAAACAACCGCAAAGGTTTTCCGGTTTTCTTTTTCTCCCAGGGTTATCGCAAAGTGATTCTCTCCACCAACGTTGCTGAGACCTCAGTCACCATCGCAGGCATAAAATACGTGGTGGACACAGGCATGGTTAAAGCAAAGAAGTATGCTGCTGGTGTGTTTCTTGGACACGGTTTGGCAAGGGAGAGAAGGGGGGGTGCTTTGGGGGGGTGGAACTGTGAAGGGCCACAGAATGAGAGGCAATCGATCAGGAGGTTAGAAGGTTATCGTGCATTATGTCCCAGTGAAACAAAGGCCATGGTTAGATTAATTGATGGATTGATGGAAGGATCAGTCAGTCAATCAAATTGATGGATGTATCTTGTTTTTACACTGTCCAGTAGCTGAGGCTTTCTGGGTAGATAATAAAAGTCAAAAACACAGACACAAGAATGACAAAAAAGTAAGACAAGAAAACCGCCGCAGTTGCACCCAAATCAGCACAGAGGCATAGCAGTGGTATAGGATAACATGCAATATTGAGAGCTAAAGTTAAAAACTAATGGTCAGAATACTGGAGGAATAAAAAGGGTTTTACCCAGCCCTGAAAAGAACACAGAGTGGGGAGCTCGTGCCACAGCCTGGGTGCCACAACCGAAAAGGCCCTTCTGGTAACCACCTCCTCACTTCCTTTGGAGGGGGCGCCTAGAGAGGGACCCCCAAAGATGGGCCCAGGGTCTGGGTAGATGAACATGGGATGGGGTGTTCCTTCGGATGGCATCCGGCGCCTTTGAGGACTTGCTGCATCCATGCCCCAGGCCCACACTCCTAGGACGCAGGTCTAGCACTGGTGGAGCACAATCGGAGAACCAGGCCTGGGGTGGACAGGGAGGCCAGATCAGGGCATTGGCCAGGCAGCCGCGTGATTTGCCCAGCCATCCAAGCGCATGCAGCTGCCTCAAGCTGCTCCGGCATCAGGCAGCTTCTTTTGCCGAGTTCAGGACAGACAGAAGAAGCCCGGCCTACTGAGATCCGGCAAGGCCATGCTGCTAATGCCTGATGTTTCGTGCCTTTCCCAGAAAGCGGCCTGGAAGTGCTGGCGGTCCAGCGCGTGTCCAAGGCCCAGGCCTGGCAGCGGGCCGGACGGGCTGGGAGAGAGGACAGCGGGTTCTGCTACCGCCTTTACACGGAGGACGAGTTTGAGAAGCTGGACAAAATGACTGTGCCAGAGATTCAAAGGTGAGGCCGCCCTTCCCTTTCCGAAACGCTCCCTGCACTCCACTGGGGGGCGAGCCTTTTGCAGGGGTGGCACGGCATGCGCATCCCGCTGCGCCAGAGTGGCTTCAGAGGGCCGCTGCTGCCGACGGTGGTTCGGGGAGCACAGACGACGTGCTGGGGCTACTAACCTTGACACCCGTAGGGCAGGAGTGGGCAGCTGGGCGCTGCCAGGTGCTTCACCCTTTGGTCCCGGGGTTCCCCACACTAGCCACTGCGGCTAGGCCGCTGCCGGGTCTGGTCCCAAGCATCTCCAGCGTGCCACGCCGGGCACGGCTGCTCGGGATCGAGGGTCCACCCTGGCCACCAGTCGGCCGCAAGGGGCTCTGCGTCCTCCCTGCCCTGTGGTGGCAGTTCTGCTGGTGGAGCAGGAGGCGCTGCATAGGCCAGGTGGCACCCGCCAGGTGTTCTGGACTGCGGCCCTCGCCCGCCCCAGCCACCTGCAATGGATCAGGTCGTGTCATGGAGCTGTGTTTGAATATGGGTAACGGGAAGGAAGAGGGCTGGGCGAACCGCATTGGGCTCCCTGCAGGAAAATTGGACAGCTAGCTGCCTAACAAAATGCAATATTGCTTTAAAGGTTAAGTTTTGTGCTTTTCCTTGGACAGTCATAGAATGGTAAGTCAGAATATGTGGCACGATTGATCTAAGGGTTGTAACCATCTTCAGGCAGTCCAGTGAAATCCTCCCCGGCTCCCACTGTCCCTGTGCGCTCCTCCGACCACACCTGTTGTTCTGAAGCCCTCCAGGAGCCTGGGGAGCCTCTGGTGGGGCCCAGTCCTGCTGGCCGATTGGAGATCTTGCAGGGAAGCTGGGAGTGTTTGGACCTCGGCTGTTCGGCCTGTGCGTCATGAGCCATCCCCAGCATCTCCCCTCTTGCATTGACAGAGGGTTTAATCACAGAGGAGGTCCCCGAACAGTTCTTTTTTTTTTTTAATTTTAAAGTAAGTTTTATTGTTATTTTTCTACTAACTAACAAAAAGAAACTAAAAATCGTCAATCATCAAAAGCATCAGACCCACTGCGTCAGCCCCCTGTACTTTTTTTTTAATAGTAATCCATAAACATATTTAAGTCTATGCATAGTCCCATTTCTCTAGCCAATAATAAAAGGAATTCCAAGTTTGATAGAAGTCTGCGTCCTCTTTCTCCTTCAGAGACAAAGTCAATCTGTCCGTTTCGGCACAGTCCAAGATCTTTTTTAAAATCATTTTGTCGGTACCCGAACGGTTCTTTGTTGATGGGTGGGTGGATTGTGCACAGCTCCTGGCGACCGGGCCGCCTTGCTTGAGCAAAACGCATGCAGACGCCTCACGTTTCCTCTGCCTCCGCAGGTGTAACCTTGCCAGTGTGATGCTCCATCTCCTGGCCCTGAGAATCCCCAATGTCCTTGCCTTTGACTTCATCTCGAAACCGTCCCCAGGTGAGTGAGAAGTGAGCGAGCAGGGGGTGACTGGGGACTGGCTGCCGAGGACCTCTGCCGCTTCGAGACTGGGGCCGAAATAAGTGATGCTGGTTGTGAAACGGCACAAACGTCAGGGCAGCTGTGTTAGATGTGTTGGACTACAGCGCCTAGCAATAGCCTAGTGCGACATACTAATCAATGGCCAGGGATCATGGAAGCTGTAGTCTGACAAATCCAGAGGACCTCAGGTCGAGGGATGAACTTCCCATCCTGCCCTTGAATCCCACTTAACTTAATATTTTACCCCTTTCAGTCCACATCAGGTCAGTCCCAAGGTAGCTCAGACAGTTCCTTCAGCCATTAACCTACCTCTCCGGGCTACTGTGAGGTTGCCATGAAAGAGATCCCTTCGAGGGTGCGGCCTGGAGAAACATGCAGAAAATATGTGAAGAATAAAACATCAATAGAAAACAGCTGCAATGGAACACAAGAAAATGCAAACACAGCAGAATTAGCAATGCATTTATTTAATGGACATAAAACCTTCCCAACCATTGAAAAAGTGATACCCAGTAGCTTGGACTTTTTTAGAGTGGTATGAAATACAGATAACACTTATCCCTGCAAGTAATGTATATTCTTTATTATCTTATTTCCTGTTTAAAAATAGTATTTTGGCATGCAAAGAACACAGGGAATTGACTTATCCCTGGTCAAATTGTGTCCCTCTAGCCCTATATTTATTTAATATATTTCTATGCCACTAAATATTTATTTATTTATTTATTTATAAAATTTGTATGCCGTCCATTACTTGCATCTCTAGACGGTTTACAACATAAATCAGGATAAAATGAATAAATTGACTTTTCCACGCTGGCTGTAATTAATAAAATACAAACAATATCCAAAGCTCTCTGGGTGTTTTCCAACAGTTAAAACACCAAAAATACAACACCATGATAAAATTAAATACTGATTTTTTAAAAAAATATATTTCTTAGCCACTTTTCAGAGCAGGAGCCCTGCTATTTATTGCCCGCAGCAAGCAGCAATACAATTCATGATAATAAAAATCCAGCAATAAAAACAGTAAAAATATGATTTAAACAGCAATACTAAACTTTCTGGAAAATGACCAAGAGCAGCATGAAATAAAATTTTACAACAGGAAGCTGCAACCGTAAACCTGTCTAATAAAACATACCCAGGGAAGGGCTGGCATGCAGTAGCAGCTGCCACCTTCAGTGCATTTCCAAGCCTTCTGACAAACCTGCGGTGGCACGGGGCCATCACCGGAAAGCCCTGCCTCGTTTCACAGGCAGCCTCACTGTCCATACAGATTGAAATGCACCTCACCTGAGCTGCAGCTGCCGTATTTTGTAGCTTAAAAAGTTCAAAATGCAGTGTTGAAGCAAAGAAAAGCCAGTCGCTGCATGAAAATACCAAAACACCTTTGAAAGCAGCAAAATAGAAGGCCAATGGGCCATAGAATAGAGGAGTAGAACCCACGCTCTTTCTTGCAAAGCTCAGATGGAGGTTGAAAAACAGTAACCATTCACAAATTGGCAATAACATAATTATCCTGACTGAGCTCTGCTCATCTTACAGGTGAGGCCTGATGCATTGGATCAGTCACCAGAGCATTACCCTTTTTGTTCACATATTATTGTTTATTCTACAATATATTTGAATCACTTGCATTAAATAAATGTCTCAGTAAAATAACCCACCCCTCCAGAAAATCTTTATGCACAGGATGAGGTATCTGTTGGAAAAGGTATCTTTCAGAAAGGTGACAAAAAGCCGGAAGGGTTGGTTCCTGCCTCACTTGGAGTGACAGGGAGGTGCAGAGAGAGTGCGCACTGACCCAAGGCCCGGCTTCCGTGTCCAGGTTGCCACGTCACCTTGGCTTGGCTTGGCTTGTTTCCGCAGAGGCACTGCACGCTGCAATCGACCAGCTGGCCCTCTTGGGCGCGGTGGAAAGGAAAGATCTGCTCACCCTCACTCCGCTGGGAAGAAAGATGGCTGCATTTCCCCTGGAACCCAAACTTGCCAAAGTAAAATATTTTTGTTTCCCTTAAGAAAGAAACTGGGTGGACTCTGTCGATTTATTTTGTTGCTCCTTGACTCCTTTAGCAAAGCAGAGTCTTGCTTTGCTGTGAGTCAGTTCTACTTCGGTTTCGTCGACTCTGCAGCTCTCTTTTTCTTCTTTTAATCCCTTAATATAGGGGTTGGCAACTGGATGCCTCCCCCAGCAGATTGAAGCCACAGCTCCCATAAACCCCAGCAAGTGTGGCTAATGGTTGGACATGGTGGAAACTGTAGTCCAAAAATCTCAAGAGCATTGAGTTTCCTACTCCTGCGCATAGATTCGCAGTTCAAAAAAGGAGAGGGAAAAAACAGGAAGGCTTCTGTCAGCTGGTATGATAAATCAGCACAAAATTTCCAAGAAAGACAAACGAGTGTTCTTGAACAGAGGAATTCATAGTCTTACAAAAAACATTCTTTCCTGGTCAGTTTTCTAACATAAAGTCCAACTGCAAGCGTCAGCATGAGGCCGCTTCCTTGGGCTGAGTGGGAAGGAAGGAACACTCCCACCTCCCTTTCTTGTCTGCTGGCTGGTTGGTTTGCTCCTTAAATCTCACCATTAAAAGGACCCTCCCCCTGCATTCAACAGGTGATCCTGATGGCTCCCAAGTTCCACTGCACAGAGGAAATCCTGACCATCGTTTCCCTGCTCTCTGTGGACAGCGTCCTCCACAACCCCCCCTCCCGGCGGGACGACGTGCAGGCTGCCAGGAAGAAGTTCGCCTCCAGCGAAGGCGATCACATCACGCTGCTCAACATCTACCGGGCCTTCAAGAACATCAGCGGCAACCGGGTGAGCGCTCTCGGCTGCTCTAGCCAGGCAGGGGCCAGGGGCCAGCCTTTAAAAGGGAGATAGTCGCTCGGCACATCTTAACACATGCAGGGCCTTTTAATCCGCTTTCCCACCACCACCTTTGCCCACCTTCTGTTCTGACTTCCAGGTGGGGAGCGGAGTTGGTTTTCTTGTGAGAGTAACAGCACCCCTCAGGCACACGAAAGCAGGGATTAGCCAGCTTGGGAGAACCCCAAACCTTGCAGAGGTTTCCACATCAGTTTAGAAATTTGAAAACAAACTAGGCAGCTGAAGGGGATTCCAGCAGGACAATGGCAGTCAGAAGGATAGAAAAGGAGGCGGAAGGGGGCAGGGGGTGGCAGGTCTGGGATTCTGAGTGCTGAGAATGTTGGGCTGCTTGAAAAACAGTCTGCCTACATTCTTAGCAAATATTGAGGAATGGGCACAGCACGCCTGAGGGGACATGAACGGGTGTGCTTCCCGCCCTGAGCGATCAGCCGTCTCTTTCTCCTCTCCCACATCTTGCTGGCCTCAGGAATGGTGCAAAGAAAACTTCGTGAACAGCAGAAATATGATGCTTGTCTCTGATGTCCGAGCTCAGCTCCGGGACATTTGTATAAAGGTAATTTTGCAATCCTCCTCCAAGACAGTTGATATTATATCTACACGCACAGCTCATTCTGATGGGATTGTTCTAGTTATGCTTGTTCTTAAGGCTGCAACGTTAAATGGAACATAGCTTCAATCCTGTACCCACTTACCCAAGAGTAAACCTCATAGAACTTTATGGGATTTTCCTTTTGAGCAAACCCACTTGCACTGTTAACACACATTTTTGTATGCAAGATGCTTCAGGCATGATCTTATGCAGGATTAGACAAAAGAAGGAGCTTCAGCTCCCAGCATGCCCCATGCTAGGTTTTGCAGGCCCCTTTCCATCTGAGCTTGCACTGGATTACACATTAAAGCCACATGTTCGTACTTCTTTTCCTAGGAGTAAACCTCATGGAATGCAATGGGATTTGCTGCTGAATAAACCTGCGTAGAATTGCAGTGTTAGTGCAGTGTCTGTGTGCAAGAGGATTTCTTCTGTTATGTGGTGCAGATACCTTACAAATAAACACAAATTAAACCAAGGGTCAAAAAACATGTAGCACCTGGAGACTGCTTTGTTTACTTGATGAAGCAAAGCACCTTGGAGTGCATGCCCAGCCCAGAAATGTGCTGCGTGTTGTTTTGAGATCAGAACTAAATCGGCAGTCCTTGCATACAAAAACAAGATAGAAACATAGAAGCAGAGCGAGTCAGAAGGGGTCTTCCGGGCCATCCAGTTTGACGCCCGGCTCCAGCCGGCTGCACTCACAACATGCCCACCATGTGCATGGCCAGCCTCTCCTTGAACACCCTAAGCGATGGGGCCTCAGCCACCTCCAGGGGAAGCCCATTCCAAGATAATTCCTTTCACTCCGCACACCAGCGTTGCTTATTGCAAAAGCCTAATTTAGGATGTGGAGGCAGCGCATTTGCTGCTGCTGTCTCTCAATGGTTTTGGGCTTGTGGGCGGCATAGAAATTAAATTAGTAAAGAGCGCACAGCAAAGCCCTTGCTGCTCTCCCACAAGCTTCCCCTTCTTTGTGCCCATTGTCCCCGCTAAGAGTAAGCATTTCTCATTAAGACTTCTGTTTTAATCTTCTTTTAACTGCTCATTTGGCAGAAAAGTAGTCTCTGTTCACAGGGCTCAGTTCAGTGCATATTTAGACAGGGAAAAAGCCCAACAACTTCCCATAATCTCAAGGTGCTGTTTGACTGCCACACCGAACGGGATTTAATCCACAGCAGGGGTATATTGAGGTCCCCATAATGTGTACAGTGGTCTAATCTGCCGAGAAACAGTGTCCCCAAAGCCCCCCTGACCTCGCTGTGCTCTTGTCCATCCAGCTGTCGATACCACTGGAGTCGTCCCGGTCCGACACCGGGAACGTCCGCCGCTGCCTGGCCCACAGCCTTTTCATGTACACAGCAGAGCTGCAGCCAGACGGGACCTACGCCACGACCGACTCCCACCAGCCGGTGGCCATCCATCCCTCGTCGGTCCTCTTCCACTGCAAGCCGGCCTGCGTCACATACAACGAACTGCTGCACACGAACAAGTGTTACATGCGGGACCTGTGCGTGGTGGACGCCGACTGGCTGTACGACGCGGCCCCCGATTACTTCCGCCAGAAGCTCAGGATAGCCAAGAATTGCCCTCTCGCCTGAGCCACGCCGGCCGACTGCAGTGCACACGGGCCTTTGCGACTTTGCGGCACCGCTCGAAAGGGGCCTTCCTGGCACATCACATCTCCGCCTAGTTCAGTCTCCTCTGGAAAGGACCACAGGCTGCAGTGGCCTGCACCTGTAGAAACGCTCGCCCCAGCCATGTGTGGGGCCTGCTGAAGCTCTTCTCCGACGGAGTCTGTCTCTCCTCGTTCCAAAAGTGCGTGTCAGATATCCATGCGTTCCTGTCCGAGCGAGGGGGAACAGAGCACCCCACTTTTCAGCAGATTTGTTCACAAAGAGAACCTAAGGGTTGTGCAGGGCAAACCTGATGGAACTGGATGTTCAAAACTATATATAAACTGTTCTGCTCAGCACTTGGTCAGCACTGCTGAATTTGGGGGTTGGGGAGATCGTCAGAAGCACCACTTTGCTTTAGGATGGAGGTGCCAAGCTCTCTCCTCCTCTTTTGCATGGTACTTTAAACATTTAATAGCATGGATGTGATGGGGTGCCAGTGCAGTTTGGTTGTCTGCTGCTGAATTTCAAGAAGAAAAGCGGTCTTGGAACACCACCTTCGGAGCTAGAAGCTCTCGGTGTATTAGGGCCCATTTCTCCCTCACACCTGGTCTTCAGACAAGAGGGCAAGCAGCCCTTCTATTTTATATAATACAGTGCAGCAAGGATCTTGCATTATCTTAAAAAGTAAGAACATGAACCTGTGCGTGTTTAGACAGAAAAACAGTATTACAACTCCCGCCAATTGGGCTGGAGCATGGTGAGAGTTTTAGGTGTTTCTTTCTTTCTGGAATGCATACAACTGCACTGAATACATTTATTTCAACTTATTGTGGGCACACACCAACCCCTTTACTGGATACATGATGTGTTAAAAACACACTGGGGGTGGATGTAAATAGGGCTGTTAGAGGGAACATAAATGCAAAGCATGTGGAGGATTAGCTGTCGTGAAGATTGTCATAATAACAAAGGCATCATGAGCCAATTAACAAATCAATCAGTTTGTTGAGGTGACCACCAGGTTTCACAATAAGGCTTACACAACCGTTGAATTTCACAGTAAAATGCAAGGTTGTCACTGACAGAAATAAAGTCCTCAGTCAGTTTTCTAAGGTTAAATGGTTCTTAAAACCAAGGGGAACAAAGCCAAACACAGGATTAATTAGAGAATATGTCAGCTCATATTCGCATGGCTCTGATCCGATACTGAGCCACAGTGTGTATAACAAAGGTATAACAAAGAAGGAAAAAGACGTACTGTTCAGATCTTTATGAAAATGACAATGTTAAAGGATTAATTGAGCTGATTAACATGCCATGCGATTTAAAAAAATCATTGCTCTTTTTCAAACCACAGTAGTTCTCACAGTACTAATAATAGTAGTAATCAAGAAATAGTTCTCTTGGTGAACTGTATTTCCGGTCCTCCAACAATCTAGTCCACATCCCCCGAGCCCCAGTATGTCTAAATAAATTTGCCAGGTTGTGGTTAACTCATCACATATCTGATGACACAGGCAAAGTCCATCCAAAAATTTATTTTTTGGTCTGAAAAGTGCCACGGTACCCTTCCGTTTTGCATATTTCTCAGCACTGGAAAAAGTTACTGAGCTGATGCTCCGCAGTGGCTGATTCTTCAGCGTGGCTTTGGATGAAAATGGTTCCAGGCTCGTCACCTGGCTTCCCTAGTTAGAAAGGCTTCTGACCACAGGACATGGAAAGAACTTGGAGGATGCCATCTCGGACTAGGTGGAACAATGGTCACTCCGCCTAAAGCAATTTTGTAACATGTTGAAAAGAATTGCAGAGCACAAGGACTTCGTGAGCACCTGGGTGGTGCAAGGGTTAAGAGCATGGGACTGAGGTAATCTAGGTCCCATGGGGGCAGGCTCTCTACCTCCCACACAGGGTTGTTTTTGTGGGGATAAGATGGAGAGGAGGAGGAGGAGGTCAGCCGCTTTGAGTTCAAAGTGGGATAGAAATCAAATGAGTTCGCCTTGCTCTCTGTAATTAAAAAACCTAAATCTGTTCTGTGTCTTGGTTTGTGTGTGCAGGTAACAGCAAAGGAGAAGGGCTCTTAATGGAGCCACCAGCTTTTATTTGGGGAAGCTGTTACTTGGCATGTGGGTTGATCTGGGGGTTTGAAACTGATGGGGCAGAGATGCTTTTGGGCTCTGCAGAACCAGATGAAAGCCACTGGAAGCATCAGGCTGATCTTGTCCAGTTTGGTTGGTGGGGCAGAAATTCTGGGTCCAGTGGGATGGATAGTGAGTGCAAGAGGGGTCTCATCAACTTTAGACCTTTAAGGAAAGGTTGCTGAGTGAATGCTACTTTTCAGGATGTGCCTTTCCGGAGGTCAGACTAGATGGCCCGGGAGACCCCTTCTGACTCGCTCTGTTTCTATGTTTCCTCCTTGGTCCTGCTTTTGTGAGTACGAATGTGCTCCATTCTCATGAACTGTTTAATCAGGTTTCCCCATAGCCACCTTCCTAAACCCATGTAAACTCCACATCTGGGAGAAACTTGGGTCTGCTCTTCAAACCCACAACAGGGAGAGACTGAGTTAGGACAACTACCCCCATCATGCAGAGCCTCTGGCCTCATATACTGGTCTGATCCCCCAAGGCTCCCAAGGATGGGAGATCGGGGCATCTCTGCCTGCAAGCCCGCCAACTGAAAAAGGTCTGGCACAAAAGGAAAAGGGAATCAGGAGGGAGAAGGAAAACAGATGTGGGCACTAGCCATCTACAGTTCCATTGGTCTCCCTTGATTCCTCAATATGACATGAATTGGGCTGAAAGCTCCAATGCAGAAGATTTTTCACCATGATCCCTTGCAGGCTTATATGGTATCAGCTGCACTGAATGCAGCCAGGCAAATTCCCAGGGAAAGAGGCACAGAACTGCAGTAGATGCAACCTTTTGCAGGCATTGGAAGCACCTTGCCTTTTAAAAGCTATGCGTGCTTTTCCTGGAAGAAATAGGACAAGCTTCCTTCATTTGGAATGTGCTCCAAAATTTATTTGTGTATGTAAAACATTTCTATCCCATCCTTCACGACAGCATCTCAGGACGGCTTACAAAGCTTAAAATCAACAATAATAAAAGTACAATCAGTAATACAATAGATAATAAATAGTAATAATAAATACAATCAGCAATAATAAAAATACAACCAGAGTTAAAAAAGAAAAAATAAGTAAATCACATTCAAAAGATAAAAAAATCTAGTAAAAATGTGACTGTTAACTTAAACTTCTAAAATATCTAATTCTTAAAATGATGTTGAAATAAAAAGCTTTTCACCAGGCACCGAATAAAATATAAGCTCAGCACCAGGCAAATCTCTCTGGGGAGAAGTCTGGGTGCCACCACAAAGAAGGCCCTGCCCAAATGTGCTCAACTTTCCAAATGTGTTTGGGGTACAACACTCATCCTCCCCCAGCCTCAGCAGGTCACTGGGGGGCCAATGTGATAGGCCTTCCCTGCATCCTCGGAAAGCTTCCTGAGACTATCTAGCAACAGCTGGCACCCCCACGGGGTCAAGGTGTTGGTACGTGCACAGGTGCACGTACCCAAATTGCAAGCCTTGGGCTTGGGGATGGTGGGGGTTGTGGTTCAACACCTGTGAGGGCACCAGGTTAGGCAAGGAAAGCGAGACGAAGTGAATGAAGTAGCAACAACAGCTCCTGCGCTTCAAAACTGCCTATGGCGGCTATTACCACCCCGTCCTGGCTTTCCGGGGCCGCCGAGGCAGCCGCCCTCGCAACCATCCGGCCAGGCTGGCGCCGTGCAGCGACCGAGGGCAACCCGCCCGCCCGCTTTGCACGAGCCGATGGCTGCGCACGGGCATCCATCGTCCCGCGCAAGGAAGGAGCAGCGCAGCCGCGCCCCCCGCGCAGCCTCCCTCCGCCCCGCGGGCCGATGGGGCTTGTAGGCCGGCCTGGAGGCGGAAGAGGCGGGCCTTCCGGCCCCCCGGCACACGCCCGCCCGCCCCGGCCTCGCCACCAT